CTGCTCGGAGCCTGCTGTGCCATGTATCGGGCCCCGCGTAGGGTCATCTGGCAATGAGCGGTCAATCGTGTTATCGTGCCGAACGGCACGGTGGTGGCCGGGTGCTCGGGAGCCACCACACTGTCTCGCCTGCTGCTGTTGGCCTGTCTCAGGAGGGAGGCAGCGGCCAGCCCTGTCGTTTGGATTAAAAATGTAATCAGTGACGTGCCTCTGCATGCGGTAGACGGAACGGAAGTGATGCGCAGAGAACTCGGCCAAGCTTTCAAGACGGCGACGGCCGACTTGCAGAAGAAAGGGCTGCCCATCGCTCGCAACAAGCTAGGCCTCCTCTCCTCCTCGGGAGAAGTGGCGGATAGGATCCTCCTCGACTGTGACCTTCCTGGGTCGGTGCGCTGTCAGGTCCACATGGACATAGGATGGGACGCAACCGACGGGAGCCGACGCCGAGCTGGCACGCATCACGACAGACGTTGTGCCGCCCAAGCCAAGGTCTGCAAAAATGTGGCCCTCCGAAACGCTGGGGCCCCAGCAGGCTTTGTTTTTCGGGCTGGAGTTTCGGCTAAGGCCCTCCGGAGGGAGGGGGGGGCAACATCAAGGGACTCCCCGAGGGTAAACTTGAACAACTTAGGGTTTCATCGCTGCGAGCTGAAGGGCGCCTTCCAGGAGGGTGCTCGCTAGAGCTCGCGTCGATGTGTTCACGAGGTGGCTGGGCCAGAGACCCGCTGGTCCTTGTCACAGCCGATGCGATCAAAACCATTGCACACGCAGGAGCAGAGGGCGAGCAGGGTACAGCCAATACTGTGCAGGGCGTAGACAAGATTGACCCACGAGACGAATTCGACTGGCAAATGGCTGTGGTTATGATTATCGATGAAGGTTTGATTGACCGAACCGTTTCCACTGATCCCCTCGAGCACTCAATCACAAGAGCAGTTGCACACACCAATAGTATTGACCTCGACAACCACATGCACCGGCTGCAATGCGTTAAGCCACGTCTGCTTCTCAGTCCCAACGAGGAACCCCATAGGACGCCGATGAGAACATGACGCGATTTAGGACGTGCCATACACTTGCAAAAATAAACAGCTTGAGCAAAGTCGGACTGCGGTCACAGAAATCATTCGATTGAAACTGTGCAACACCACAGCGCTCTCGTTTCACTGGGATGGATTAACCCGCAAGCTAAGGACCATATGTATACATATATATATATATATATATACATATCCGCTGGCCCCCTTGCGGGGCCATGAGGCTGCGAAGATTAGGCTGTCATGCTCCCTGCACCAGTTCCAGTGCCAAGTCTCCAATGTTACAGTACTGCTTTCTGCCTCCTACTGTAAATTGTTGCTGAACGCGCGAGGGGGGGCAGCCCCAAACCAGCCTGTTTACCACGCCCAGAGCGCGTTGTCTGAATTCCAGGGGGGGGCATGGGACATGTAAAAATACATGAGATTCGCGTCCCCGAGGCCATAATCCCTAGTAAATTACGCCATATTCGCGTCCCCAAGGCCATATACCTTCGTAAGTTACGCGATATTCGCGCCCCCGAAGCCATAACCCATTGTAAAGTACACGAAATGTGCGCCCCGAAGCCATAAACCCTCGTAATGTACACTATGTGTGCGTCGCCGACGCCATAAACGTTTGTACAGGATGCAAGATTCGCGTCCTCGAGGCCATACACCCTAGTAAATTACGCAATGTTTGCGTCCTCGAGGCCATAAACTTTCGCAAATTACGCGAACCGCCAGACGTCGAACGCAATTCTTCAGGTTTGCAACGCAAGCCGTACAATCATAGATTGGCCCTCGCGTGAAGTCCCGATATTGCTTCACGTCGGCGTCCAGACATCCCAACACAGCTCTGGCAAGTCCCCTTCTAAGTGAGGGGGGCCGGCGGCAGGGGGCGGAGCCCTTACGGATACATGTATATCAATGCGATATGAAAATTGTACGATACCCATTTGGGATACACCATTCTCAGTCTTGAAGCCTTGAGGCCTTCCTCCCTCCTCTCTCCAGTCCTCCTCCTCCTCCTCCTCCCCCTCCTCCCCCTCCTCCTCCTCCTCCCCCTCCTCCTCCTTTCTTCTCGGGCGCCCACGTGCTCCCTAAGACCTAGCCTGTATGCCCGAAAAGCGGAGGTATCACCGTGGTCGGATGGTCACCAGAATGTCCTCCAAGCAGACTTCAAACGGACCCGTCGAAGCTCAAACAGCCATGACCATCCGCTGATTCCCCGTTTGGCAGGCTTTCGAGCCTCTAGAGGGTCCGTGTGCTTGCTCGCTCGTGTGCAAACCCCCCACGCTTCCGACGCTGTGATGTTTGACGGCATGAGTATCTGGGGAGCTCCCGACCTCAGCCCTGGGACCCGTTGTTCGGCGCTGGTGTTTTTTTCGACGACACCTGGGCCCGAAAACGGCCCCCAGGTTCCGAAAGTGTATCAAGACGACCGTCGTGTTTTTTTGCGAAGTCAGGGGGTCAGAGCCTGGCCCCTGGGGTGACCAGCCAACCACGGAGGCATCAGGATATGGAGCAGGCTTGAGCCTGAGCAGGAAGCCTCGGGCGCGAGATCTGCGGAGGCCACTCCTCCCTCCTCTCCTCGCCACCCCCTCGTCTCCCCTCCTCCTCCCCTGCTCCCTCCTCCTCGTCTCGCGCGCGAGGTGGGTAGACACCCCCGCGCGCGAGGGAGGGTGGCAAACCCGTGCGCGCTCACGAACAGGGCAAGCCACACGCCTGCTGAGGAGAAGGGCAACCATGCCTGCATACGCGCGGGGCGGAAGCCTCACGCGCCCCTGCGCCAGCGGCCGCTGGGAGGACTAGCCCTCAGCACAGGGCTGAGAGTGCGGGCGCCAAGAATATACACCACCATCAACTGAATCCCCCCTCCCCTCCTCCAGCCTCTTCTTCCTCTCCTCTTTCCGGTTCGTCCAGCTCCGCGTCGCCGTGCACCTGTGCTGCCGCGCCTGCATCAACCCTGGGGCCCTGGGCGCTGCCTGGGCCCACTCGTGCTCGCTGCCTGTGTCGGTCAGTGCGGTTCGAGGCCACTCCTCATCCCCAGACTCATTATTGACGCTTCTGCGCCCCATGTTGAGGAAAAACACTTGAGCGTTGAGAATCCACTGGCACAACGGAGGCAATGCGTTGATCGCCCACCAGACGGTGAGGTCGTCGCGGGCACGCGTCACCCCCCCTTATCAGGCTCGCCCCCGCCCCGGCTCATGACGTCGTCCAAGTACTTTTAGCATTGCATTCACCAGCGGGGCCAGTAGACCGACATGGGCGGGAGCTTCACCCAAAGGATATCGGGTGAACTGTCCGGCCTCTTGCACACATCTCGCAGATCCCGCTTTGGCTAGACAGCATCTCCGCCACCGTGCGCCGCCACCCCATGGGGCACGCTCGTGTCGCTGCTTCCTCCACTGGCCAGGTCCAGGGGCCGTGACTGACCTCGCTCCTCGGGACCAACTGATCTGTTCAGCAGGCTCATGAGGTAGCAGCAGCGGAACATGCGAGATGGTGGGAGGTAGGAAAGCAGACTGCAGGATTGCAGAGGTGCAAGAGTGTACAGGTCTCGACGTGCAATACGAGACACGGATGGCAGGCGAGACTAGGACATCAGGAGAGTGACAGGGCTGGAAAATAATAGCGGGCGCAGGGGCAATAATGAGAGAGCGAGTGCGAAGGGATACGGGAGCGGGGGCGCAACTGGGGATGGGAACATGATTGGGTAGGAGTCGGAAAAGGCGCGGAAGCCGGAGCATAGGGAGGATCACAAACAGAAATAAGGAAAGGGCCAAGATCGAGTTAGCCTGGTCGAACAAGTCAGCAGGCCCCGCCCACTCCCACAATCCATCCCACGACAGAAGAATCAACTGGGGCACGATTTCACAGTGGGAGTGGAACGCGTTCCCACCCAGCGAACGTAAGACGCTCGCGCGCGGTCCCGCTTCCGACGACTTGGCGAAGGGACTGCTACGCGGGGCGCGTGCAGTCGGGAGCGGAACTTCAGGAAATCCTTGCGCGGCGCTGCGGCGGGAGCACAGTTTAGCCCTCTCGGGCTCTCACATGTCCGGTGAGCGCGGCGAAGACGAAGCATGCGCCCCGCCGAAACAGCACTGATAGTTTCACTCGCAAGCTGCGCTTCGCTCTGGCGGTGAGAACATCTCGCCCGCTCTCGCGCGGCCCCGAGGCCGCTGCCGCGTCCGTGCGAGTCGGCATGCGAAGCACGCGCTGGCCCCACGCGCCAACGCGGGAACGCCATTTCGAAGCGAAATGTGCACGGAGCATGGGCGAGGGCGACAAGTCACCCGCTCGCGCGGGGCACCAGAACTTGGCGAGTGGCAAACATGCGACGCGCCGAAGCGAGAGCCACAATTTCGTCCACTCTCACGTCGACGAACTGCCGTGCGAAAAATGTGCGCCGCGCATGAGCTGGAGTGGAAATCTTTTTGGATGTGCGCCCCGTCTTCCTTATGCCACACATCTCGCAACGTCGACACCAAGACGTCCACGCTGGTAGCAAAAACCTGGACCTTGTGCTGGTTGTTACAAATCGTATAGGCCTTTCCGGATGGAGCCCTATCGGCCGGCCAGGTGGCAGAGTAGAAACCAAACCAGAGTAAATCTAAACTGAATACAGTTTGAGACCGGGAGCAGGAGGCAAGAAGCAGGGAGGGAGGGGGGGCGCAGGGCACGGGGAGCAGAGAGAAGGGAGCAGTGTGGACGGCCCATACCTGCGGGCCGAACCAGCAGGAATCGACGAGGCGCCAGCCCGTGACCCAAAGAAAGCAGATCTGCCCAAAGGAAGTAAAACTGACCCAAGCGGCAGGGAAGCAAGCAGGGAGGAGATCGTAGGAGGGAGGCAAAGAGGGAGCGAACGGAGAGGCAAGGGCAGGCAAGCGTGGGAGAGTCGGAAGGAGGCGGGGGAAGGGGTGTAAAGAAACAGCACGGGAGCAAGCAGGGGATGCAGGAGGTCGTAGGAGGGAGGCTAGCAGGGAGGAGACGGAAGGGCACGGGGAGGCAAGCGGGGAGGGATCGAAAGGAGATGAGGAAAGGGCGGACAGACACAGTACAGGAGCAAGCAAGGAGGAGGGAAAGAAAAAATCAAAAACCACTTTGTCCTGCGCCGGACCCGCCGCCCAAGGCGCCCCTTTAATTACCGAATTCTCTAGCCATCTCCGGGCGGCGCGGTACCATGGAAACGGGCCGAATACGTCTGTGCAACGACCTGGCCCATGGCTGCGACTGAACTAATCCACGAGAGGCCAATCTGGGCGTTGGTGGGTAGCACCACCCTCTAGAGGATCTCGTTGAGGTCTGGCCATCCGCTTGTCCACATTTTTGCCCAGCGGCCCATTGATGTCCATCTAAGCAGGCTCGGGATGCCACAACCCGTTTGCACACAAGCAATAATGACACACAGATGGGGGGGGGTAACACGCGAACACGACAAATAAACTCCTACGGGCTACGGCTGGCGGCCAAGGGATCCACACAACACGGGTGATCGGGCCCCTATCGGCCACCATCTGGACAGCTTTCTGGGGCCGCACCAGGGGATTGGCCTGGCCAGGATCGGTGCTGCTGTATACGTGGCGTCCAAAAGAAAGCATGCGGGGCACGAAGTGAAGAACCACGCGCTGGAGCGCACCGAGTATGGGACGGACTCAAACCAACTAGTCGAACACCAACCAATTCGGTCGGAGCCCCAACCAATTAGTGCCAACTCCAAGCTGGGAGATAATCTCTCATCCCTGGAACTCCTTCCGTGTCCTGGAGAATTCCTTGCGCTTCCTAAGGTATCGATTGGGCTTCCTTACGATCCCGTTGCGCTTCCTTGAGAAATTGCTGCGCTTCCTGAAGAATACCCTGTAGCTCCTTGCCCTGCATTTCCTCAAGAGTTTCTTGCGCTAGTTTAAGAAGCCATCAAGAAACACTGAGCATTCTCAAGGAATCTCTAGGGACTAACTAAAGACTCTCTGAGAAAACACTGAGGTATCCCTGAGGAATGCTAGCGGGTCCTTGAGACATGCTTTGCAGGAATATTTAAGAAATCCTGGATACTCCTTGAGGATTCCATGGGGAGTCCTTGGGAGTGGATGCTGTCATATGCATCGTTCGCACGTTGCTTCCGTTTTGATTTCGCATTGCGCTGGTGTTGTTGCCTTGCTATTGCGCGTCGGTTGTGCACTGCACAGTTTTGAACTGGTTGCTGTTACATTTCCCAGGAGTTGATGTTGCTTCGCGTTACAGTGTGTTCGCAGTGCTGTAGTTTTGATGCAGCACTGATGTTCCAATGCCCTCGCATTGTGATTGCATTGGTTATAGGCTTTGCGTAGCTGTTGCATCGTATAGAGTCGCATTGGTTTGCATACAAATGTTTCATGTGGCTCTGATGTGCGGCGCATTACATTGCATTTGCAGAGGTATTCCCTGTATTGCATTGGATTGCCATACAAAGCCTTGCAGTGTTTAGCTACTGCGTCGCTATCCATTGCATTGTATCGCGCGGCGTTGCATTTGCATTGCATTGCGCTGCATCGCCCTGCATTGCCAAGCATTGCATCGCATTGCCATCGCCCAAGATTCGAACGTTTTGTCTACGTGAGCGGCGCAAAAACCCTGATAGCACTGCAAAGGGCCCCTCTGCTTGACGGGGCTCGCTCCACTCGGCCCAAGCTTTCGTAAGTGGTGGCACAGCAATGCCGCTTCGGAAGATAGACGCGCCCCCGGAAGCTCAGGGCGAGGCACCACTGCCAGAACAGGTCCAGAGGACCCCCTCAAACATCCAAGAGCCGCCCTCCGCCCTCCTCCACCTCCTCCTCCTCCTCCTCCTCCCCCTCCTCCGACCTCCTTCGACCTCCTCCTCCATCTCCTCCCCCTCCTCCGACCTCCTCCTCCATCCTCTCTCTTCTTCATTCCTCCCTGCCCAAAGAAAAAGAAGACCTGTTTCTTCACTGCAGACCTGGGATTATGTATGCAAGTGCACTCGGAGCCCGAGCGAACATACGAAGTGTGAGAGAAGATGTATCTGCACTAGCTTGTTACTGTATGTGTGCTTGCAGCTATAGGTACGCAGTCGCTAGGCCTTTCAGCCTCAGCGTCTTCGGGCAACTGCTAGAGAAAGATGGCTGTGGAATGTTCAACACAAGATGTTGACACATGCTGTTAAAGCGAATAGGCCAAATCTGTCGTAACATTTTTGGCGGCTGTGAGCTTCAATTTTAGCGGGTCTACCACATACCCCAACCTACCACCCACGTATGTGTGCAAGGAGAGTCTGGCAATTTGTCAGAAAATCTGAAACCTCGAGTGCCAAGGTGCTGCAGAATGTCATCAGGGATCGTCATCACTTCCTTAACTCGTCGATTCGCCTCACGATGGAAAGGCAAAACCAAAGTGAGGCATCTTGCCTGAGCCCATGCGCGGGCATGGTCCGTGTCCACGCGGGCGTGCAGACCAAGCAAGCGCATACGCAACTCAGGCGAAAGACCCTCTGTGGCATGTCTCCAGAACTGCCCGCTATACCCCCTCGAGATGATGTTAGCCCCGAAGCGGGCTAAATCTTGGGAGGCGCGTGTTGGATCCGAGTTGTGCGTGAGACGCCTCTTCGCCTCTTGCCGAACCCATGACCGAGCCAGGGAGAACGAATGGTGACTCGACGACGGTATACAAGCATGTGGGTTTTGTGGCTTCTCGTAAAGCGATACCTCCAGCATGCCAGTATCGCACCACCTGCCGGATTTCTAGAACCTCACGTCAAGAAATACTGTCGTATAGCGTGATGCGACGAACTTCTAGTTGAAGCGGCATACGCCCAGAGGCGTTGTGCATGGCGTGTTCAGGATGTCCTGAAAATGTTGCAAACTACGTTCGGATCCGTTCCACACAAATAGACCGTTATCCAAATATATCTGCCAAGATCGTGCTGCAATATGTTGGTTGTGCAGCGTGCCGCAGAACATCTCGTAGTAACACGCCGCCAAGGTAGCGATCTGTGGGGCGCAGCCTAAGCCCACCGCTACCCCTTTGCACTGTCTGAAGAAATCCCCGTCGAAACTGAAGTAGTTGTGCGTCAGAAGGTGAGCTAGCATAACCTCTACCATTTGATGTTGCTCCTGCGGGAGGTCTGGTAGAAATTCAGAGACAGCCCACATCACGACATTGATACAGTAGTGTATACCGATGTTCAGAAAAAAGTCTGCGATGTCAAATTCCACGAGGGTGGCCTCTGGATGCACCTCCAGAGTTTCATGTGTCACGAGCGTCTGTATGGAAGAGCATGTCACACCTGGCAGCTGTGGAATAATATGTTGGAGTGTCTGCCCAATCCAATAGGGGTTCGCTTCCTCCAGTCCCCAATGGAGTTGATGACTGGTCTCACAGGAATCAGATCCGTAGGGCAATTCTGAAGATTTTGCATCTTCGGCATATCGATGTCGTCCCTCTGGTGAGGCTTGTACGTGCCCTGGAACTTCGAATAAAAGAACGGGGACGCACCTGACCGAAAGCCTTGCCACAGAACGGGGACGCACCTGACCGGAAGCCTGACCGAACCTCCTCCTCCTCCTCCTCCTCCTCCCCCTCCTCCGACCTCCTCCATCCTCTCTCCTCTTCATTCCCCCCTCCCCTCCTCCCTCCTGCCCACTCGGCGCCCCGCCTCTGGCCACGCGCCACCCTGCCATACCCTGGCGGGCTGCCCCTAGCTGTTCGCGGCAGCCCCCAGCGGCCGGCCGACAAGCGGAAATGGCGGCGCCACGAGGGCGCCCCCTGACCCGGGAGCGATCCCCAGCGACCCGAGCACCTGCCGCGGGGGCGAACGGAGGAAGGGAATGACGACGACGACGACGACGAAGACGACGACGAGGGAAGCGATGAGGAGGACGAAGGCGAAACGTTCGCACCTGGCACTGGCATTGCTGTGCTGACCCTGGGCAAGCATCTGGGGGCGCGCTGCGCGATCTGCTGGCGGTAGCTCCATGGGCAATCGTCGTGGCCCGAGGCCCCAGCAAGGTTGGCCAGAGCGAGTCGGCGCAAGAATGCGATACATATAGGACCTCACCTCGGGTGATGAAAGGAGGCTGTAGACGGGCATCGCATTCGGTCTGCGATGGCTTCACGTAGAAACAGCGATTGGCATACGATCCTAATTCACAATCGTCTGCAATGTTTCGTCTATCCCAAAACAAATATAGCTATATGCATATATATATATGCACACATGTGAATAGACCTGTATGTGTTATGTATGTATGTATGTCTGGATGGATGGATGGATGGATGGATGGATGGATGGATGGATGTAGGTGTTGTTGTATTTTTCTCGTGGGGACAGTTTCTGCTACAAGGTGCCACGCGTCGACGCGACTTCGACGCCAGTCGATCGAAGCACAAAAATAGATCGAGAGCCGTGCACTTGGGACGGCACTCGCTCAAGACATCCTGAAAGAGACGGGCAAGGGGGGGAGGGACGAGAGAAAAGAGGCTTGAGCATAGATTATGGCAACACGGAGACATCACCCGAAACAATACCCCTCACCTTCCCGTGCGAGCACACACAGTTGCTGTTGTATTTTTCTCGCGGGGACAGTTTCTGCTACAAGGTGCCACGCGTCGACGCGACTTCGACGCCAGTCGATCGAAGCACAGAAATAGATCGAGAGCCGCGCACCTGGGACGGCACTCGCTCAAGACATCCCAAACCCGACAAGGGCTACCCGAGCCCTCAAGGTTCCCAGGGACGGGCGGGACAGGGCACCAAAAAGCGAGAAAGAAAGCTTAAAACCCCACGCAGGCGGGGCAAAAGGCCGGCGCCAGCCAGACACAAAAGAGGCAATGCGATCACGTTCATGAGACAGTAACGTCTGGACCATGGCTTTACACAAGGTAGGGGGGCAAGAAGCTGCAATGGCCGTCCACTTTACACCTGATGGCGCGGCTCCTTCCAGTACGAAATGTTTCCTACCCGTGCGACTGCGCATTCCTGAGCTCCCTTTACACCTACGATCGAATTTCATCGTATCGGACATGTCAACGAAGAAGAAGGCAAGCTTTGTACGTTTCCGCCAACAACGTCCGAACTGGCACTGATCAAAAGTCCGAGTGTGGCCTTTAAACCTTTCAAGGAGACCTATAAGCTCAGGGGTGTGTCAAATTCTAAAATTGACTGGATGCTCAAGGATTGTTAGAACCTGATATCTACACAAAGCTCGTAAAATCTGCAAGGCACTCCGAAAGACTTTGTTGCCGCGCTCAAGGCGCTCACACTGACGTCTAGTCAACTCGTTAGCATCTAAACCCCACGGCTGCAGCCTCGAACGGATGGGGCCGCGTCTGCCTCGGTCCGCCGCTCCGCCCCAGGCATCACACGGCGGGCCCAAGACGGCACCCAACACCTCCTTTCGTGCTATCGCCGCCGTCACACACTTGATCACTCTGGGCGCTGTCAAGTCCTCGTGGAGCCCGCGGGCACGATCGTGCGCGTGAGCGTTGCAACCCTGCTGGACCGCGGCCCGCGCGACGCCGCCTGTCCCCGAGTAGAGGTCGAGGATGTAGCGGCCTCTGAAATGCCCCGCCAAGGGGGCGCCACGCCGTGCGGTCTGCCGCAGAGTATGTCCTCGAGCGCTCCCTCGCATGCCTCCAGCAGCTGGCGCACTCCGACTGGAAGAAGCTCCCAACTCCCCCCCAGCCTGGCGCCCTTCTCGCACCGCCGGACACTCTTGATGCTTGCCCACTGCCCGCGACGCTGTGCCTCGGCCACCGTCCGATACCGCCTCGCGATGTCGATCGACGGTCCCGAGTGCCGCGTCTGATACGGCACTATCGTCTCTGTGATGCCGAGCTCGGACAGCGAGGTCTTGAACTCCTGGAGACACTGAGGATACGTGAAGGTCCAAACCACCTCGTGCTTCGGCCCGCTGGCCAGTACCCTCAGGATCGGGCCTATGAACTGCAAGTAGGGCGAGTCCATCTCGATGCTGACGTCGCTGAGGTCGGTCTTGCTCCGCTCGATCTGCTGAGAAGGGAAGAGCAGCAGGCTCCAGAACGGGGAGATGCCAGCAGCAGGCGCAATCACGCCACGCGCCTTGAGGCCCATCGGCTCGTTCGGCCTCAGGTAACTGCCGAGCGAGACCAGGAGGAAGACCGCCATCTGCAAGAGGTTGCGCTCGACTAACCTCCAGGCTACTCCAGCCCTCAAGGCTAGGAGCCAGCTGCGCCTGCTGCGGCCAGGGGCCCGGCGCCGCCAGCCTTTCAGGCAACGAAAGGCCCGGGGGAGCTAGCGGCGGCCAGCCCGCGACAACTCCGGCGCCAAGCACATCAGGCCAGCAAGGATCTGCTCCCCTTTGTTGGCATCCCAGCCTTTGAAAAAGAGGAAGTTGAAGTACTCCACCAGCACGCCGTCGACTTGCTCGTCGCGCGCCAGCGGCCGCTCTCCTGCGAAGTCCGTGAAGCCCGCCACTTCGGCCTGGCATCGTTCCAGCACCCTGGGCGTCACCGAGCTCTCCTCGAGGAAGCTGCTGAGACCCCCGGCTGCGGTCGCCAGGGCGGCGTCCAGGAACTTGCGCCTCCTCTGGTGGCCCGTACGCCGCAGCACTGCCCTCCGCGCGGCGCCAGGCCCTGGCCTCTCCTCGTCGCCGGTGCTGCTGCTCTCGCCGACGTCTGCCAGCGCGGGCTCGCGCCTCAGGCGATCCTCGCTGTCAGGGAGAGCCATCGCGTGCGTGAGCGCGACAAGATTGAGCATCCTCAGCCGTTGTGCACCGAGTGGCTTCGCTGAGCGGCACCGACCACCAGCGTTCTTGCAAGAGAGACAACAATTGCTCCGTCGTGGCCGACAGCATGCCCGGCGACGTTGGGAAGAGCCAGAGCTGCCTGCCTACAAGACGGGAAATACCCAACTGCCTCTGTGCAGCTGCATCCCGTGTTGACGCAGCGAACATCCAAGATCCATCCAGCAATCAGCACGTCAGGAACCCCCTTGTGTCGACCCATTAATGCAAGACTGGTGTCTCGTGCAGTCGCACGCCTCGTGGATGCATTCGTCTAAGATAAAGGCGCGCACGTTCCACCCGATTGCCTTCTCGATGATATTGCTGAGGATGAACACCGGCTCGCGCGCGGAGTCGCCCGCCCAGCAAGCGAATTGCGGCGCCTTCAAATGACCGATCGCTGGGTCGACCAATATTGATCGAATGTTCGAATACACGTTGTAAAAAAGATTTCGGAATTACTTTGTAAAAGGATATGACAACTATGGACTTGAGGTGCCGGATCGTGGTCGGCGTGGCTCTCATCTGAAGCAGGCGAACGCACTGCGGTGTCCAAGAGTTATCATTCCGTACGCATGGGCGGTTGAACACCGCATTTTTGACATGCAAAGCCATGGCCTCGAAGTCGTCGTCGTCGAGCCCAGACAGCACGTCGGCCAATACGCGGTCGTCAGCACAAGGTTCACAAGAAGTAAACGCGAAGACGATCTGCTTGACAGAGGAGCCCGCGATGTCGTTCCACTCCCACGCCCCCCTCTTCCAATCGGGCAGCGCTGAGTCGCCGACGCCCTCGCACAAGCTGTCGAAATATTGGGCGCTGCGTTCCTGAATCTTGTCGGTCGCGCCCCAGGCGACCCCTTTCGTGGCGTGGTCGCGCAGCTTCTGCGCGGTAAACCAGCGTTTTTGCCCGGTCGCACATGCCGGGGCTCGCGCAGTTTTACGTTTGTTTCTATCGCGCGCCCGCATCGCCCACAGAGCGCGGACTTTTCGTCGTCTCCGGCAAACCTCCGCAGACAGTTTGCGTCTTTCCACAGGCCCCCGCTCTTCTCGCCGACCCCTCCACGCAATCCGCAGCGCACGAACCTCGGGGTTGTCGTGTGGAAGTCATGGTGGTTCACTTCGCCTCGGCGCGCCGCGTTCAGACGCTGCCTGGTTCTGTCACTGTGGCTGTGCTGGCGGTCGCCCTGAGTCATGTCGTTTCCTCTTGCCCGAAATCTATTGTCCGCATGGATGCGTATATGTTAACCATGTGCTCAAAAATCATATCCGTCGTCTGGTGTCCAATAAACAACGGCAGGAGCTTGATGAAAGCGCTCATCTCTGAGGCGTTGTTGGTCCTCCTGATTGCGCCCAGATGGCACTCGGAACGAGGCTGCGTGACGACAGGGCCGTAAGCGACGAGACGCACTCTGGAATCGTCGTCTGGAGTGGCGCCAGCGCCAAATATCGCAAAGCCTCACCCAGCAGATATAATATGCCGGGGCATCTTCTTGCACGACCTGCCCGTGTAGATGCGCATGTAATTCCCCTAGGCAGCCGAAGTTTGTTTGCTGGCAGTCCAATGTCTACCCGCATGTGGTCGTTGCATCCGCTTGAAGCCAGTCCCCAATTCAATGGCTTGGAAAATCCCCCCGGCGACCAGGAAACCCTTGCGCGCCGCGAAAGTTTTTAAAATGATCGCTGCACAGGCCTATGATCGGTGACCGTTGCCGTTGAATCCCAGGTCGAGCATGCAACTGGACGGCGCGCCCGAACGCCTGAACACACGTAATATATTTGCCTCGGCTCGCAACGACCTGCACAATAGGCGAAATGCCCTCCACTGTTCGGGAACATGCTGTCGTGGATGACCAGGTCATGCTCCACGCAGAAGCGCATGAACGCATCTGCTTTCCTACCTCTAGGGCGCTCGCAACGTGCACCCAAAATGCGCGGGCCACCATCGGAATCGCCCCTGTCTGTAAGCCCGATCTGGTCCTAAGCGTCAACACCAACCACGACTGTGGACATATGTGCCCTAGCCTTCGTCCAACAAGATTGCTACACCGCCCAGAGAGTCAGAATTCAGGTTTACATCCCAACCTGTATCCAAGCGCGCGCAGATGCAAAACATCGATTGCGCCCCCAATCGCACAGTTAGGGAGCACGCTCCCCCCTGGCGCTGCAAAACGAGCCTGCGTCCGCCTGATGCGCCGACGTATTTCGTGCGACGATTGCCCCGCGCCCACGCCCCAGACATGGAGGTTGAATGTAGATCGAGTAGACCTCGGTCGGCTCTAATACCCAACCCGCGCCATTGGCGGTGAGTTCTTGCGGGGGAAAGATGCCCCACTCCAATTCGCCCCTAAAGTCCTTCAGGAAGTCATCCACGCATGTCTGGCCCACCCCAAAAAAATCCAAGACACAGTGCTGAGTTTCCCCGCCAGTAGCTCGTCAGACCCCCCCCCCCCCCCCATGCCCTGTCACTCGATAGCGTTGCACGTGAGGGGGCTAGGCTGGCGCCGAACTCGAAATGGATATGCACGTTCCCCGCCGCCTCGCCCAGGCGCAACTCGCACTTGCCCCCGTCACGCTCGCAAACTTTGTGGATGGGTCCACTTCCGCCTTGCCGGAACAAGACGCACACCTTCTCCCTGTCTCCGTTCACCCACTTCGCGACCTCCGACTCGTCGCAGATGCACTGGGCCGCCACGTGGTTGCGCAATACAGTAATAGCCTTGCCGACCCGTTTACTGAGCATACGCTCGTCGCGCGTGGTCTCGATGTCGTGCCAGAGCCCCCATACCGTTGTGGTTGAACTTATGGCCCCCGTGATCTGTCATGAACTTCTACATCGCAGAGTTCGAAGACGATGATGCCCATGTTGCCCGCGAACTTCCCGACGCTGAAGGACTCAGCCACATCCTCCTGCCTGTCCTGGATGATGCTTTCGAACGTTGCTTCAATATAATCCGCCTTCGTATTGCACGGGAAGGCCCCAACGACAATCGAGATCCGCTGCGCCCTCGGGACCTGGGCGCGGTGCTTTGCACGATCCCCTCCCTCAACTTTCCGGGCACCGCCTGCGTTAAGCTGTTGGAATTCCTGCTCAAGGGTCCCGAGGCGCCCCCCGTGCTCATCTAACTTCATCCCCTGCTCCTCCACTTTCCCATCTGTGCTCTGCAATCACGTCTCCATGCTGCTCATGCGGCTGTCAAGCACGTAAATCCTCGCGTTGGTGATATCGCTGATGATCGCGATTATTGCCTGCACCTCATCGCTCAACGACTTATTATTATTCTTCTTCTTCTTATACCTGTTATTATTACTCTTCTTTTTGTTATTATTCTTCTTTTTGATATGATTATCCTTTTTATTCTTGTCAACGTGAAGGGCGGCCCTCTCCTTGCCCCGGCTCCGTCAGCGCCAGCATTAGCGCTCTTCGTTCGCATGCCCGCACTCTGCGCAGAACATCGTTCTGAAAACTGCGATGCCTGAGTGCCTTCAGGGCACGGCAATAGAAATGTTGACCCCCTTGACCCCTTGAGCCCTCGTCCCACTCCCTCTCCTCGTCCTTGTTGTCGACGTCATCGCGCTGTTGCTGACCTTCTCGGGGGTCGGCAGGATGGCGCAAGCCTCTGGAGTCAACCATAAATGTCACGCATATCTGTTACAACGATCTACGAAAGCAATGTGTACGCGTTGCCTCAGCTGCTAATTGACACCACAATGCACAATTGCTCTCGTCGGCGTCCGTTCTGACAAAAGCTGCGGCAAGCACCGCCGCGCCTCGAGGCACGAGTCGGGATGTCCCCAGGTCCCTCACAGCCCTGCCCTCTGTGTTGAGTATTGCAATACTCTGTGAGGGGCCCACGGCCCCCCGTTCCCAGCCCTCTTGGGCGCTCCTGGGGTTTGGGGCGCGTCCCCGCGAAACTCTTCCAGAAGCAAGGCAGTCCCAAGACGGGCCAAGAGGACCCCAAGAGGCCCCCAAGACGGTACAAGAGAGCCCCGAGTCGCTCCTAGATCGCCCCAACACCCCCAAGGTGGTCTCAAGGCGGCCCAAGACGCCCCCAAGACGCCCCGAGAGAGCCCAAAGAGAGCCCCAAGAGCAAGGGGCCCCTCATCTCTGAGGCGTTGCTGGTCCTCCTGATTGCGCCCAAATGGCACTCGGAACGAGGCTGCGTGGCGACATGGCCGTAAGCGACGAGACGCACTCTGGAATCGTCGTCTGGAGTGGCGCCAGCGCCAAATATCGCAAAGCCCCACCCAGCAGATATAATATGCCGGGGCATCTTCTTGCACGACCTGCCCGTGTAGATGCGCATACAATACCCCTCGTCAGCCGAAGTTTGTTTTCTGGCAGTCCAATGTCTACCCGCATGTGATCGCTGCATCCGCTTGAAGCCAGTCTCCAATTCAATGGCTTGGAAAATCCCCCCGGCGACCAGAAAGCCCTTGCGCGCCGCGAAAGTTTTTTAAATATGATCGCTGCACAGGCCTATGATCGGTGACCGTTGCCGTTGAATCCCAGGTCGAGCATGCAACTGGACGGTGCGCCCGAACGCCTGAACACGCGTAATAGATTTGCCTCGGCTCGCAACGATCTGCACAATAGGCGAAATGCCCTCCACTGTTCGGGAACATGCGGTCGTGGATGACCAGGTCATGCTCCACGCAGAAGCGCATGAACGCATCTCCTTTCCTACCTCTAGGGCGCTCGCAATGTGCACCCAAAATGCGTGGGTCATCATCGGAGTCGCCCCTGTCTGTAAGCCCGATCTGGTCCTAAGCGTCAACACTAACTACGACTGTGGACATCTGTGCCCTAGCTTTTGTCCAAGAATATTGCTACATCGTCCAGAGAGTCAGAATTCAGGCTTCCACCCCAACCTGCATCCAAGCGCGCACAGATGCAAAACATTGATTGCGCCCCCCAATCGTACAGTTAGGGAGCACGCTCTCCCCTGGCTGCAAAACGAGCCTGCGTCCGCCTGATGCGCTAACGTATTTCGTACGACGATTGCCCCGCGCCCACGCCCCAGACATGGAGGTCGAATGCAGATCGAGTAGACCTCGGTCGACTCTAATACCCAACCCGCGCTATTGGCGGTGAGTTCTTGCAGGGGAAAGATATCCCACTCCAATTCGTCCCTAAGGCCCTTCAGGAAGTCATCCACGCATGTCTGGCCCACCCCAAAACATTCCAAGACACAGTGTTGAGTTTCCCCGCCAGTAGCTCGTCAGACCCCCCCATGCCCTGTCACTCGATAGCATTGCACGTGAAGAGGCTAGGCTGGCGCCGAACTCGAAATGGATATGCATGTTCCCCGCCGCCTCGCCCACGCGCAGCTCGCACTTGTTCCCGTCACGCTCGCAAACTTTGTGGATGGATCCACTTCCGCCTTGCCGGAACAAGACGTACACCTTCTCCCTGTCTCCGTTCACCCACTTCGTGACCTCCGACACGTCGCAGATGCTCTGGGCCACCACGTGGTTGCGCAGTCCAGTAATAGCCTTGCCGATCCGTTTACTGAGCATACGCTCGTCGCGCGTGGTCTCGATGTCGTGCCAGACCTCCTTACCGTTGTGGTTGAACTTATGGCCCTCGTGATCTGTCATGAACTTCTACATCGCAGAGTTCGATTTGAAGACGATGATGCCCATGTTGCCCGCGAACTTCCCGATGCTGAAGGACACAGCCACATCCTCCTGCCTGTCCTGGATGATGTTTTCGAACGTTGCTTCAATATAATCCGTCTTCGTACTGTATGGGAAGGCTCCGACGACAATCGAGATCCGTTGTGCCCTCGGGACCTGGGTGCGGTGCTTTGCACGATCCCCTCCCTCAACTTTCTGGGCACCGCCTGCGTTAAGCTGTTGGAATTCCTGTTCAAGGGTCCCGAGGCGCCTCCCGTGCTCATCTAACTTCATCCCCTGCTCCTCCACTTTCCCATCTGTACTCTGCAATCACGTCTCCATGCTGTTCATGCGACTGTCCAGCACGTAAGTCTTCGCGTTGGTGATATCGCTGATGATAACGATTACTGCCTGCACCTCATCGCTCAACGACTTCTCCATATTATTAGTATTCTTATTATTATTCCTAGTCTAATTATTATTAGTATTGTTTTTATTAATATTATTATTCGTCTTCTTATTCTTATTAGTAGTATTCTTATTGTTATTAGTGTTCTTATTATTATTGTTGTTGTTATTATTGTGTTTGTTAGTATCCTTCTGATTATTCTTGTCAACGTGAATGGCGGTCCTCTTCTTGTCCCGGCTCCGTCAGCGCCGGCATTAGCACTCCTCGTTCTTATGCCCGCACTCTGCGCAGAACATCGTTCTGAAAACTGTGATACCTGAGTGCCTTCAGGGTACGGTAAGAGAAATGTTGACCCCCTTGACCCCTTGAGCCCTCGTCCCACTCCCTCTCCTCGTCCTTGTTGTCGACGTCATCGCGTTGTTGCTGACCTTCTCGGGGGTCGGCAGAATGGCGTAAGCCTCTTGAGTCAACCATAAATGTCACGCATATCTGTTACAACGATCTATGTAAGCAATGTGTACACGTTGCCTCAGCTGCTAATTGACACCACAATGCACAATTGCTCTCGTCGGCGTCCGTTCTGACAAAAGCTGCTGCAAGTACCACCGCGCCTCGAGGCACGAGTCGGGATGTCCTCAGGTCCCTCAGAGCCCTGCCCTCTGTGTTGAGTATTGCAATACTCTGTAAGGGGCCCACGGCCCCCCGTTCCCAGCCCTCTTGGGCGCTCCTGGGGTTTGGGGCGTGTCCCCGCGAAACTCTTCCAGAAGCAAGGCAGTCCCAAGACGGGCCAAGAGGACCCCAAGAGGCCCCCAAGACGGTCCAAGAGAGCCCCGAGTCGCTCCTAGATCGCCCGAACACCCCCAAGGTGGTCTCAAGGCGGCCCAAGACGCCCCCAAGACGCCCCGAGAGAGCCCAAAGAGAGCCCCAAGAGCAAGGGGCCCCGAGAGGCCAAAATTCTGGATCCTTTTTCGGTTGTCTGATGATTTTAAGACTCTCGCCTGTTCGGGAAGTCTCCGCTGTCGGGGGTCCACCTTAAATGCTCGCACCAGGGCTACCGCTGAGCCGCGACGGCGCCAACTTACCATGGAAGCTAGAAACACACACGGCTGAACATCTGGAGGCCACTTTGCTGGCTGCACGTGCGGAGGGCTGTCAGGTCTGGCCACACGAGAGCCGAGCCTCAGAAAAGCCACACGTGTATCCAGGTATCGCCCAGGCCAGCCACGTCATGCACACCCAGACCTCCGACGTCGGATGCCGTCCAGGACCACTTTCTCGCCGCGGGTCGTTCCTTGACGGCCGCGGGACCCAGGAACGGCCCCCGGACGCCGAAACCGCAGGAGACCGCGCGTGGCGAGATGCTCACGGCGCCCAGAAGTCTGGAGATCCAGCCTCCTCGCACCGTCCGCGAGAGCAGCACCGCGAGGAGGCGGAGCCGCGGCAAAAACGGCAGCGGCAACGGCCCTTCGTCCGCCCTGCGCCTGCGGCCACAGCGGAGCCGCCGCCAGCAGCCTCGACACGAGGCAGGGTGCAACAGCCGCTGGCGGCGCACACCTGGGGGTCGAAAGGGTTTACCACTCCTCCCTCCCTCCCCCTCCTCCTCACCCTGAAAGAGAAGCCTTTTGGCGGGCACATTGTTGTGCGTTTCTGCAGATGAGCTGTGGGCCCTCATGAGGCCCACGCTCAGGGGAGTGGGCCAACTTCGGCTGACACTTCCATGGGAGGCGGCACCCGTCTGGCAGTTGCGATCTTGACTCGCGCCTTCGAGGACGACCGAACCGAACCTCCTCACCCTTGGTCGTTCGGTCGGACTGAAGGCAGGTGGTTGCAGCGGCCTCGTCTGAGAGCAGGCATCAGAAAAAAACAACGAGGGAGGACGGGACACCAGGGGTCGCCAGACGCTTGGACGAACTCCCCCCAAGCAGCGGTTCGAGCTTTTCACTCCCCCATGGGCCATGGGGGCCCAAAGGCACAGAAATTCCAGTAAGTTTCTCAGGAGACGCCGAGTCAGCGGCAGCGGCAGAAGAAGTGGCAGGGAGAAGCAGGAGCAGTTCCACGGGGCCCGACGCAATGAGAGCATGACCAGCTGAAAACGGCAATCGAATCGTGTGTAAGCAGACTGGACCGAGGAGCCTGGCCCCCCACCCAGGTGTTGACCCACGAGCCGCCAGTGGGCGAGGTTCATCAGGGTGCCCGCGCATGCTCCTGAAGCTCCGCAGGACTCGCGCGCGACGCACCGCCGCGCAAGCGCAAACCTCTCAAGGCCCAGCTGTCCTCCGAAAAGCAAGATGACTGCGCAGGCGACAGGCAAGACCAGCCCTCTTGTGGTCTAGTCTGGCAGGGGAAGCCTATGGGCTGGACTGCGGGGACGCCTGGAGTCTGGGCCAGCCCCGACTGCTTTTTCACGACGCCTGCCGCCGTCGCCGCCGCCGCCGTCGTCGCTGCCGCCGCTTCGTCGCCCCCGCGCGCCCCTGAACGGCCGCTGGCAGCGCCTTCACGGGCTCCCCCGGGCCCGCGCGGGAGAATGGGCATGGCCCGTCGGGAGGGTGTGCCTGCCGGCGGAGGCGGCAAGTCCCAAAGTGGAGGGGAGAGGAGGGGAGGGGGGGGGCAAAGGAGGAGATAGGTTTACACTTCGACTTCTGCTCGAGGCCTCCAGAGGGTCATCGCCGCCACAGCTGAATGCGCTTCGACATGCCGCTCAGAAGACGATCGATGAGAAGTCTGGGAATCGAATTGAGGGAGAGGGGGGAGGGAGGAAGGAGGAGGGAGGAAGGGAGGAGGGAGGGTAATGGAGGAGAAAGGAAGGAGCAATGAGAAGGGACAAAACGGAGGCCGCAGGCAGACGGGAAAGGACCGCAGGCAGGGAGCAGGGAAGGAGACGGAGCAGAGGATGCAGAAGGGAGGAGCAACCGCAGGCAGGCGGGCCAGGCCGGGGAGCGGGAGAGAAGGGCCGCCTGCGACGACGGGCACTACGGCGGCAACACCGACCAGCAGGCACAGGCGGAGCGCTGGAGAGGGTGGTCGTCGGGGCTATCGGGGAGGGGCTGGTCGTCGGGATCGTCGGGGTGGCCGGGGTCGTCGGGGTGGTCGTGGGGGGGGTCGTCCAGGGAGACGGAACGAGCCGCCGCTCTGTGGCTCTGGTGGCATGGACCAATTCGGGTGGGCCTTCCGCCCCACCGAAGCCCGCCCGCCGCCAGCATGTGTGGGAGGGGCCTGCCGCGCTGTGGCCTGGTCGGCTGGGACGCTTTCGGGCGTGCCCCCCCGCCCCACTGGAACCTGGCCCCAGCTCGCCACTGGGTGGGGGGGCCCATGCTGCCCAACAGTGAGGGGGGGGGGGGCGGCGGGGCCGCCAGGCATCGCCAGGGAATGGAGATGGGAGGGAGGGCGGGGGACGGCGGGGGAGGGGGGATGGAGGGGGGATGGAGGAAGCGCAAGGGAGGAGAGAGGAGGAAGGAAGAACAAGGAAAAAGAGAGTAGAACGACGCAGGAAGATAACAAGGACAGCGCGAGGAGACGACGAGCGTCTGCATGACAGGCTCACGCCCCCCGACTGCACATTGGCGCCGAAGGTCTTTCACAAACACTGTACAATATGGGGGGGCCCTCGACCCCAGGAAATCAAAGCTTACCGCGTCTGCCCGCTCAGCTCCATACGGTACGGGACGCCATACGGCAACCATCAGCGACAGGCGTGCGTGACTGTCACTGCCTTGGGCACAAAGGCAAAATCTGCACAAAACCTCACAATGCAACCACCGCGCGGTGGGTAGCTCGGGCACCCGATGAGGGTTACGCCCCCCCCAAGCCGGAGCCATGCGGCCACAGCGGCACAAGCCAACGGAGCTCTTCTCTGCGCCCGCGGCACCATTGATGCAACAAGAAAAAAAGAAACGACCCACGCACAGTAGCTGGCCGAGGGAGGCGGCAGCAAGCTGGAGCCAAGCCTGCGTATGTTCGCCAAGGGCGATGGCGGGACTTGTGGGCTGGCGTCGGCGATAGCGTCCGAGCAGCCGAAGCGGGCGACTGCAACGCGTCGCGGTCGGGGGCGCCAGGGGGATCCCGCAGCAGCCAGCGGCAAGACGGGGGCGTCCGCGAGAGGGCGGGGCAGCATGGGCGGCCGTGGGAACACAGGCAAAAGGCGCTGATCAGCGGTTTTTGCTCGACGGTCGCAACCTGGATACCGTAACCCGTCACGTACTCGGAGGAAACAGGCGGCGCTAGCAGGGCCGGTGTCACCCAGAAGAGCAGCAGAGTGGTCCGCAGCTGCGCGCCGTGTGCCACGGGGCCTGCAAACCTGAAGCGGGGCGGTCGTGGCGGCGGGCCGCGGAAAAGCAGATGGACGTGGCGCCGTCGAGTGCTGCTCGAAAGTCGGCGGCTCGTTGCCGCCGCCGTCGGCGACATGCGGAAGTGGACATCAAAGCGCCGAGACTCTGCGGGTGCCCATGGCGGCGCCGCGGGGGTAGGAACGCCTGTGACTCAGAAGACGCGGCTGGCGGCGCTCCCAGGCCAGGCAAAAGACGGCGGGGGAGATCCCAGATGGCTGCAGCATTGACCTACTATTTGCCTTTTGCCGAGGCAACTCTCAGCGACTGAAGGCGCTAGCGCTGGAGGGGCAGGAGGGGAGGAGGGACCAGGGAGGAGAGACGAGGAAGGAAAGCGCAACAGTTCGGACACCGCGTGTGCGGGCGCGGGGCTACAAGCGCCACACTACGCCACCCCTTGCGCTGGGAGGGGCCGCATAATACGGTGGCGGTTCTTGTTCGAAACGATATGTGTGTATGTATATATATATATGTATACATAATGCTCCCCCCAAACCCCCCAGCGCGGTTCGTTCGGGACTACGACTGGAAAGCTGTAAATGGCATAGCGATTCAGAACTGACACCCCCGATCTGCACGCCCACGGCGAAAGGAGGCCCAGGTACAGCACGTTTTGGCACGCGTGCCTCTAGGCCCCTGCAACTAGGCGCTGCGGAAGGGCATTCCCGACCGCAGCCCGCGGCGTGGTCCGTGGAACGCGTTGTCAGGCGGTCTCACGGGACGCAAAGGAAAAGGGGAGCTAGCCTTTGCGCTGGCGGTGCGCGTCGAGTCTCGCCTGGATGACCTCATGGAGTGGAATTCCGGGGGGGGGGGCGGTGGAAACGCCGCGTAGGTAGCGTCCCCGGCGGGCTGGGCTCGGTGGAACCGCGCGAGGAAAGGCCACGACTGTTCCTGGCCGCGACGCAGCGCATGCTCGAGGCGCGCAGCGCGCTCGTGGAGCGCCGCAGTGGCACGGGTACGGAGATCCGACTCACGGGCGGCCTGGTGACGGTCCGCCGCGAGGAAGTGGGCGAGGGCAAGGCGCCGGTTGGGGGGCAGCCCGCCGCGCCTGGGGGCATCCCTAGTTGCCTGGTGGCGGGGGGATCGCTGCCCAGACCACCAGCCCCCTGGCGGGGAGGGGCGTGCGCCTGGCGGCAGGAAGCACGGAGGGAGGGCGGCGGGCGCGCAACGGAGCTGGACGGCACTGCGGCTTTGGGCGCCGGCTCTGTCATAGGCGAGCGCGAGCCACTGCCCCCGACGACGGTCTGAGACCCCTTACCTGCCCCACGCGCGTCCTCTCCCAGGAAGCGGTCGGTAGCAGGCACAGGCGCCGCCAGAGCTCCAGTTGGCCGGTGGAGGGCGGGGAGGGGCACCAGGGGGCCTAGGGGCGAGACCAGTCGCCCGGCACATAGTGATGAAGGGCATCCCCCAGAGCCGGATGGGACTTCGTCGTCGCCATCGCACGCATCGCCCATGCCGACCTCATCAGGGGCGAGAATCTGAAAGTCCTGGCCAGATGGGCCACGTGGCCATGAGAAAGAACGCGCGGGGTAAGCACAGCATCGCTGTCGTGATCCCGGGCACCACCGAATCCGAGCGAGCCTTCATCGTCGGCATCGAGGTCTCCAGGAGGCCTGGGAGACGAGCACCAGACATGAACGGGTTGGGCTCCGCGCGGCGTAGTTCGCTCCTCGCGCACCCGGTCCGACGGTCAGGGAGGGCCAGGACATGGCGACGGCGGTCGTAGATGGCCGCCGCCGCACTGCGAAGCACGGCCGCGAACTTATGACACCACTCAGCCGCGTCAGCCGCATGCCGCGGCAGCTGGTGGAGGCGCGCGCCGGCCGTGGCCAGCTCGTCAGCGCGTCGGCCAGAGGCCTCGGCTATGGGCGCGGCGCTACCATCGTTGATCCGCTGGTCGCCGAGATAGTGGTCTACATTTTCGACGCGGAAGAGCACTGGCTTTGCCTGCACCACGCGGTGGGCGCGACGCCGGAGGTCAGCCTGGGAGCCCGCTTCGAATTCATCGACCACTGCCTGGCCGCCAATGAAGATGCGCACAGGGAGCTCCGCAACGGCCGTCAGGTGGAAGAGGGCAAGGCCCAGGCTCGCCGCGGGCCAGGCCGCGGACCCGAGCCGAGAAGTCGAGGCGGTGGTCTGGACCGCAATAAACGCCTCAACCCGGCCGGGCCAGGGAGGGGCGCGCTTGAAGGCCCCGCCCGCGGCCGCGCATGCCCATCGCCCACCCGCGGCGGCGTCGCAGCGCTCCCCCTAGGCGTCGGGGTCTTCGCCCTCGGGCGGCGGTCGAGGAAAGGGCTGCGACATGACGTCTCGGGCAAGGTCAGCTCGGAGGTCGAGCGGCCGGGGGGGCCTCCACGCGAGCGCCGAGGCAGCGCGTGCGCGGGGGAAGGCCCCGCCATTATTCCTGAGAGATCGCAGCGGTCAGCGCCTGTCGCTCGCGGGCCCACAAGGGCATCGCGAGGCGCCCGGGCGCGCGAGGCGCCCGGGCGCGCGCGGCCGCGGCACTGATCGCGGGCGAGCCTCCGCCCGGAGACGGGGAGGTCGGCGCGCGCGAGCGCCGCGGCGGCGGCGGCCCCGACGAAGCGCCCCGTTCGACCGGGAAGCGGCCCCGCGGCGCGGGGCCTGCGGGCGCGCGAACGGCGTCGGCGGCGCGCAGCGCGAAGGCCGCTCGCGGCGAACCGCCTGGTCAACGCCTGCACCCAGTGGCGCTGCGAGGCCCGAGACCGAGAAGACGGCGCGGCCCCAGGGCTCGCGGGCAGCGACGTCGACATAGGAGTCAGCCGCGGTGGCCTCGCAGGCGCCGCGCTGGCTGGGAGCACACGGCGCGGGCGCGCGGCCTTCACCGTTCGGCTGGCCACCGTCGCACCCGTCAATGGCATGGGTTACCCGTGAAACGCCTGCGCGAGGGGGGCGCGCCCCGCTGCCGCCGCCGCGCCGGGCGCTCCAGAGACGAGCGAGTCGGGAAAGAGTAGCTGGCTTCGCCATGCGAGCTCTACGTCTCTCCGGCGGTCGATGTCGAAGTGGGCGAGGGCGGCAAGCAGCTGCAGGACATGCCGCACCGCGACAGCGGCTCTGTTGGCTTCGGACACGATCCCTGACGCGACGCAGCCCCCACGGACGCGCTTCTTGCGCGCGGCACGGCTTCGCAGCAGCAGGTCGTCAGGATGGAACCGCGTCAACCCGCCCGCATTGAAGAAGGGGCGCTCAGCGCTGAACTCGGGCCCACCGCGTTCGGAGCCCTGGTGCGCCGCGAAGGCCGACTCGGTCGCCCTGGGCCCCCAGGCGCGACCTCTGTCGAGTGCCCCGGCAGTCCGTCGGGCAGCGCCTGGCAGGCGGCTCGGAGTAGAGGCCTGAGCGCGCGGGAATGCTGGGTGGCCTGGCGGCCATGGCGGCGACTGGTGGCAGGGCTTCGATGACAATCCTGCGGGGGGAGCCACTTGGCATGCCCCGCTGATCGTGATCGGCAGCCGTCAGGCCCTCTCCCGGTGCCACGAGCACACGCGCGTGCTGCGGGTCAGGCAGCAGCGACCCAGGGCTCGCGATCCGCGCGTAGACCTTCGGCGGGGTCCCCGCGGTCGCGGAGCTGGCTGAGAGCGCCGCGCCGATGGCGCGGCAGTCGGCTGGCCCATTCTCGGCGGAGGCGGCGCAGTAGCGAACCCAACGAACAAACTGGTCAGACACGAGCGGCCACGCAGACCACGCGAGCGAGAAGTTGGGACCTCGGCACCAAGGGCAGCGCGGTAGGTCGTCACCGTCGTCGCCGCGCTGCATGAGCTGTGTGCAGCGGGCGCAGCACACGCAGACGTTCAAGAAGCAGGTGGGCCACGCGCATACCCAGCGGCCTTCCACCGCAGCGGTCTGCCCGACGCGGAGGCGCCGCGGCGCGCCAGTGCCCCAGCTGTCGCTGGCGCTCGTGGTGCCCTCGCTGGGGCAGGCCATCTGGGATTTCAGCACAGGCGGCCAGATGGCGGCGTCCGCACAATCCAGGTCCAGGAGGATGGGCCGCGGGCGTCCGCCAGAGGCACCTTGCTGAACGGTGGCGGCGAGGCGTTGCGGGTCTGCTTCGAGGCTGCGGAAGCGGTCGTCCGCCTGGTCTGACACGCCGAGGATGGCGGGCCTTGGTCGACCATTCCTCGACAGAGTCTGCGTCGCAGCTGCACGACAGAGCGCCACCCCAACTGTTACCCTGCGAAGGCGGCGGCGCGACCCCATCGCCACGGCGCGCCCCTAGGGCGTCTTCCTAGATCCGCCGCTATGGAAATCCCAAATGATACCGGAAAAAAAACTTAATCAGGGCTGTAGGGCTAGGGGGCTATAGGGTTATAGGGCTATAGAGCTATAGGGCTATAGAGCTATAGGGCTATAGAGTTGTAGGGCTATTGGGCTATAGGGCTATAGGGCTATAGGGCTATAGGGCTATAGGGCTATAGGGCTATAGGGCACCCCCGGGCACCCCCGGGCACCCCCAGGCACGCCCGGGCACCCGGGCACCCGGGCACCCGGGCACCCCCGGGCACCCCCGGGCACCCCCCGGGCACCCGGGCCCCGGGCACCCCCAAGCACCCCCGGGCACCCGGGCACCCAGGCGTGCAGCGAAAATCGGCGACAGACCTAACCTAATCATATGATACCGCAGAAAAACCCAATGATACCAGAGAAAACCCCCAATCATAATCATTTTAGGGCTGTAGGGCTATAGGGCTATATGGGCTATAGGGCTATTGGGCTATAGGGTAATAGAGCTACGGCTATCGGGCTATAGGGTATAGGGGTATAGGGCTATAGAGCTATAGGGCTATAGAGCTATAGGGCTATACGGCTATAGGGCTATAGAGATATTGAGCTATAGGGCTATAGGGTTATAGAGCTATAGGGTTATAGAGCTATAGGGCTATAGGGCTATAGGGCTATAGGGCACCCCTGGGCACCCGGGCACCCGGGCACCTGGGCGTGCGGCGAAAATCGGCGGCAAACCGAACCTAACAATATGAATCTGCTAGGACCCCTACAGAGGCAAGCTCTGCCATGTCGGCGTCTGCGGATCCCCTGGGGCCCGGCGGCCCGTGCTCGGGCCCTGGACGGGCTACCAACAGCGCAAGGACAGTGGCACGCTCGGTGGCGATGTGGAAACGCGGTCATGGGGCGCCCGCACTCGCGTTTCGCCGTTTCTTCTCGGGCGGGGAGCCACTCGTCGGGCTGCCCACGGGGCCTGCCAGCGGTGGCGCGAGCGGAGCCCAGGGGCAACGCTTGCCAGCCGCCCTCTTGAAGCGCGGGCGCTGCCCGAGTGCCGCTGCCAGCCGCCGCGGAGACCTCGGTCGGGGCGGCGGCGGCGATGGTCTCAGGTGAGACAATCTTGTCCGCGAGCGGCTTGGGGGCCCAGGCGCTTCCACGCGATCGGTGACCCCAGGGGTGGTGGATCCCTCCACGTGGACCGTGGCGTCGGGCGGCGGCGCGGCGACCCTGGCAATAGCAACGACCCCTTGGGCGGCCTTGTCCCCGCCCACGCGTGAATCCTCGCAGCGCCAATTGATGGAGGGACGAACCTTGGCGATCGGAGTCTGGGTAGCACTCCGGGGCTCGATGCCAGTGGTGGGGCACTTGTTGGTGGCCAGCGCCGCTGCCGCCCCGCGGAGCTCTCGGGCGACGGCCCTAACTTCGGCCGCTTCGGGCACGACGCGTACGCCGATGAGCTTGTCACTGCGAGCCGCCTCGGAGGCCCGGAGGCAGACGGAGGCCCGGCGGCCCCCGCGAAGCGTGGCCCAGTAGCCCTCCTGCTACCACGACATGGGTAGTCGCTGGGTGGAGGGCCCTTGGCTCCGAAATAGCTGGCGTCGAACTAGATGCCCCCTTGGCCTGACGAGGCGAGCACTGCGTGGGCAGCAGCTGGGCGGATGCCAAAGGTAGCCGCGAGGCGGCGCTTGCCAGTCACGGCGCCATGGCGGCCAAGGAGCTCCATGGACCCCCTGAAGGTGACCGAGCGGAAGTGAGATGAGAAGATGGCGAAGAATGCACCCACCAAGTCATCATCGAGCTGATTCTGAGCCAGGTCACGTTTGGAGGCTTTGTGGCGCTGACTGCCGCGAGCCTGGGCTGGGCAGTGCCAGGCCCACATGGTTGTCAGGAGCCGTTGATGTGGACCGCCCCCAAGAACTGTTTCGTGAAGAGCTGCTGAAGGGCGGGGACCACAGCGATGGCATCGGTTTCCCGATTTCCCAGATGGCACCGCGGATCCATGTGACGTCGTCGGACGGGTCGAGGGCGACCTGGACGACGTTCTACAAGCACTTGGAATCGGCGCGGCCGAGCTGATACACTGTGCCCTGGATGTGCCCAGGGAAGGTTTAGTAGCATTGGGTGCCCTGCGGAGCACATGGATCAGCATTTCTGCTCCTGGGTGGTTCGTGCCCCTGGGGCGGAAAACCGCCGAAGCAAGAGAGGTGTCTGGCGAGCGGATATGCTGCAGGAGGCGGGTCCCTTCTTCAAGCGTGCGGAGGGAGATGCTACTGGTGTACGAGGCTCCATCGTCGGCCCTGGTGGGCGCTAGGACGACGGAGGCATCCCAGGTCGACGCCACGAGGCTGATGAGTGGGGCGGTGTCGCTGCCATGGTGGGCATCGCCGGAAGGCGTTGACCCTGGTGGGTCACGGCTGGAGCCCGCAGTGTACGTGAGGGAGAAATTGAGAATGGTGTAGCTGGTTTGGGATTCCCCGCACAATTAGATCAGCTCGCTCCTCAGTCGCGGCTGATCAGGGCGATGTTGTTGGTTGGCCGCTTCAAGGTCAGGAAGGTGTCTGTGTGCTAACTCGCTGTAGGCGACCACTGCCCGACCGACGCCGCTGCTGCTCTGGAGCGCGGCGACGCAAGTCCCCTTGCGGGCCAGGCTGCTGCCCAGCAACACTGCCTGTTGGCGACCCTTGCATGATGGCTTGGGCTGCGCAGGTACAGAACGCGCGCGGCGAGGGCACTTGAGAGCCATGGCGCGCGCGCGTACGGTCTCGCTGGGCCCAAGGGTACAGAAGGTTTCGTGTCCTGGCCACGCTCTGGGTCAGGGACCCTCAAGCCGAGACATGAGAGGAGGGAGGCGAGGAGGGATTGGCGAGGAGGACGAACGAACTCGACCTAGCCCTTCTACTATGCTCCATGTCCTGCCCTCCCCCTCACCTCGCAAGATATAGTTACCCCCCCCTCATTCCCTCTTCCCTCCCCGCCCCACCGACCCATCTCCCACCCCCATTTCCTCCTCTCCCGCCCCCTTTCTTCCCCCTCTCCTCCCCCAACCCCTGCCCTGCCATTTCCCCGCCCCTACCGCCAAACCTTCATGTCTTGGGGGCTCCTCAGCCTCCTATCCCATCCGCCCATCTCCCACCCTCCCCCCGTCGGGAGCGCCGAAGAGGGGGATTAGCAAATCATGGCCTCAGGTATGTGCGCGGACGAGCAGGGGGGCACAGAACGTGACGTGCTGAAAGAAGAAGAGAGGCCATGAAAACTGGGAGATCTCATGACCCAGACCCCCGACGTCATGATTTGTTCCCAAACGTCTCGACCCATTCCCCGGGACCGGTTATTCATCCTGAGTCGTTTTTTTGACGGTTCCGGGGCCCAGCGGAGGATCCCAAAGGCCGAAAATACCGAAAAACCTCCCGTGGGACCAGGCCATGAGAGCCCAAGGGGTGACGCGATGCGATGCGATGCGACCACCGTTGCGGACAGCGTCCGGGCCTACTCAAGACCAGGGGGCGAGGCCGTGGCCTCGGGAATCTGGCGTGTCTGGACAACATGCAATGCGAGACAAATTGGCAACACAATTAGGAGGAGGGACGGAGGGAGGATGGTCCTTGGGGTCGGTCGTGTCAGCCTGTGTGGGAAGAAAGGAAGGGGGAGGAAGAGGAGGAAGTCCTTGGTGTCGGTGTCGGCGTGGGATGTCTCGCTGGGCGTTCGCGTCATTGGCTTTGGCTCTGGGTGTCTGCTGGTGTGGGGTCGACGTAGTGGTGCTCGAGCGCCGTCCATGTTTCGGTGTCCTTGTTGTCAAAATCGTTGTGTGTGTGTGCGTGTCGTGGATAGTGATGCCGTCGTTGATGCTTCACGGCTTCACACTCATATGGTCGCATGGCAATCGCAAGTGCGGGAGCTGGAGTCGGAGAGATGGGATCAAGGAGTGGAGCCGGAGTCGGAGAGATGACATAGGATGGGAGCTGGAGTCGGAAAAATGGGAGCCGGAGTCGGAGCCAGGGTCGGAAGGATGTGTGCCGGGATCGGAACGGGAGTCGGAGAGATGGGATCCGGCGTTGGAGCCGGAGTCGGAAAGATGGGATGGGATAGTCGGAAATTTGGGAGCTGGAGTCGGAGCCGGAGTCGGAGAGATGGGATCCGGCGTTGGAGCCGGAGTCGGAGAGACAGGATGGGTCGGAAAACTGGGAGCACGAGTCGGAGCCGGGGTCCGAAGGATGTGAGCCGGGGTCGGAACGGGAGTCGGAGAGATGGGATCTGGCGTTGGAGCTGGAGTCGGAAGGATGGGATGGGATAGTCCGAAATTTGGGAGCTGGAGTCGGAGCCGGAATCGGAGAGATGGGATCCAAGAAAGGAGCCGGAATCGGAGAGATAGGATGCGTCGAAAAACTGGATACCGGAGCCGGAGCCAGAGTCGGAGCCTGAGTCGGAACCTTGAAGTCGATGTCGGCGTGATGCTCGTTCACGTGTTGAGAGCCCAAGGGGTGGATAGCCCAAGGGCGGGCATTGCACGCATTCGCCAGGGAGCCTGGTCGAAGACGTAGGCTCTCGGAGCCCTCGGATCATACATAAGTCGAGCAGGAGATCGGCTACAGCATTGATGAACCCCAGAATTGGCATGTTCGTCGAATCTCAAAAAACAAAAAAAACGTCGAAGGCTCGTAGATGCACGAACCTTCTACGCACGTGTGGCAGAGTTGGAAGGAACAAGTTTGGGGTAGATCAGTTCACTTCGAGCCCTGATCTCCCTTGGGCTATCCGCTCCTGCTGCTGCCACCCAGACCCTTCTCCTGGACGCCCCCGACCCCGCCCCCGGTGACGGCGGCGGCAGCGGGCCTGGCGCTCTGCCAGCGCGAGGCGGCTCCCAGGCCGCCGCCGCTCGGGCGGCGCCACCGGCGGCTCTGGGTGCAGCGCCTTCCGCAAGGGAGGGGAACCAGAAGAAGCCCAGGAGAAGCCCAGGAGCCGAAAAGGCTCGAGAGGAAGGCTCGAGAGGATCCAGGAGAGGAGAGGCTCGAGAGGAAGACTCGAGAGGAAGGCTCGAGAGGCTCTGGGTGCAGCACCTTCCGCGAAAGGGGAGGAACCAGGAGAGGCCCGAGAGGACCGAGGAGAAGCCTGGGAGCCCTCCACCCCACGGAAGCCCAGAGAAGGCAGGGAACCTAGAGGAGGCAGGGGGGAGGAGGAATTAGAGAGAGGGGTGGAGGAAGGGGGAAAGGTGGTCGGCAACAGAAGCCGAGGCACACTTGTCGTCGTCTGCAGATGATGGGATTCGTATGATCAGCGCGATGCCAGTAGCCGTGACGACGACGACGACGACGACGACGACGACGACGACGACGACGACGACGACGACGACGACGGCGGCGGCGACGGCGGCGGCGGCGGCGGCGGCGGCGGCCACGGCCACGACCACGGCCACGGCCACGACCACGGCCACGGCCACAGCCACGGCGACGGCAAAAATGACGGCGACGGCGAAAACGACGGCGACGGCGTGAGCCGCGGCGGCGGCAAAAGCGGCGGCGGCGCCGCCTGCCGTTCCGCCAGCGGCCGGCGGCCGCCGGGGCGCGGGTGCGCTGGCGCAGCCTTCAACGGGGCCTCGTTCTCGCTGCCTGGGGCCTCGCGCGACAAGGCAGGCGAAGCGGGCGAGCGGGCGAGATGTCGGCGCCGCCCGCCGCTGGAAGGGTAGCGCTTTCGGACGCCTTGGGGTCACCTCGTCCTAGGGTCGGCTCGGCCGTGACGGCGTATGAGTTCCCTGCCGATCCAAAGATAGAGGAGACCACCCGCCGACCATGTCGGCGTGTGTGAGACGTTTTTCCGTTTCCGTCGTTGTCGTCTTCGTCGCCGTCGCCGTTCTTGATTTTTCGGTGGGCTCTCCTCCTCAAGCGCGCGAGGCAGAGGGAAATCGAAAAACGTCGCAGTCGACTCGAAGGCAGGCCCTTCCCTGTGATCCCTTCCCCGCCAGGGACGTGGCGGGGTCCAGAGGGGGTCCCCGGGGACTCGCCGCAGGGGTGGGTGGGGGGTCCCGGGGGTTGCAACCGCCACCCAAACGAAAAAATACCACCCTTGCCTGGGAGAAGCTTTACCCTTCGATTTCTTCCCTCCCAAACGCCACGAGTTCACTTGCACCGCAGCTTCGTCATAGGTGGCCCTGAAACAGCGCAAGATCGTTCCAAGACGGCCCGGAAGTCCCCAAGAGGCCCAAAAGCGCCCCAAGAAGACCCTACAGAGGGAGGGCCCCAAAAGGCAAAATTCAGGGCTGCTCCTGAAAGGTGCTCAATGTTTGCTCTGGTCCCCTTTTCGAACATCCGCCGCTCCAAGACGGCCCAAGAGGCCCCCAAGACCGCCCCCTGACGGCCCAAGAAATCCCCAAGAGGGCACCACAACGGCCCAAGAGCCCCAAGACGGCCCAAGAGGCGCCCAAGACGGCCCAAGAGGGACCCTTGAGATGTTCCCACGCGCTCCCAAACGTTCCCAAACGCTCCAGGAGCGCCCGAACAGTCTTCAACGGCCCGAGGCGCTCCCCAGGCGGTCCCACACGCTCCCAAGTTTCCAAGAGCGCCCGAGCGCCTTTCCCCAAACGTCCCAGACGCTTCCAAACGCTCGCAAGCGTTCCCAGACGCTCCAAGAACGCCCAAGTGCTTCCAGGTGCCCCCAAGCGCTGCCCACTCCCTCCCCAAGCGTTCCTCAGGCGTCTCCAGACGCTCTCGAACGTTTCCAGGAGCGCCCAATCGATCCCATGCGGCCCCTGGCGCCCCAGGAGGCTTCAGGAAGCTCAAGGAGGCTTCAGGAAGCCAGAGGAAACCCCAGAGAACGTCAGGGAGCACCAAGAAAGCACAGGAACCCTCAGGAGTTCCGAGGATGCCTCAAAGGCCCCAGAAAGGACCGAGGAAGCTCCAGGAACCCCCATGAAGCGCCAAGGGAGCCTCGGGAAGCCCCAGGAGGCCCCATGAACTCACAGAAAGTCCAAGGAAGCCTCAAGGGGGCCCTGGAGGCCCCAGGAAATTCCAGGAGATCTCCGAAAGCCGCAGGGGGGCACAAGAGCTTCCAGGAGGCCACGGGAAGCCCCCAGGAAGCTCCAGTCGACGCGACATGTCGGACGTTGACAAAGCCTGTTAATTTCTTGTCACGCTAATCCACACACACACACACAGTGCGGTGGCCGCGTGACGATGCGCCCGCATATGCGGCGCGTTTGCGACGAATCCGCAGAGACAGCCGCGCGGTTGCAGGAAGCCCCAGGAACTTCCAGGAGGTTTCAAGAAGCCACAGGAAGCGCCAGGAAGCGCCAGGAAACACCCAGGAAGCTTCCGAGAACCCCAAAGAAGCACCCAGGGAGCCATAGGAAGCCCCAGGAGGCCCCAGGAGAAGCCACACGCAGCTTCATGAAGCTGCAGGTGGACCAAGGAGGCCCCAGGAAGTTGAGGCACCAGAACGCCGCAGGGGGGCCATTGGACCCCCAAGGAGGTCAAGGAAAGCTACAAGGAAGCCCACGTTGAGGCGGCCTGATGGACCCAGAGAACGCCGTTCAGTTTATTTTCATGCCGACCCCCACCCCCAACCACCCACCCACCGCGCGGTGGTCGCGTAACCAAACGCCGCATACGCGGTGCGTCTGCAGCACATCCGCAAAAACATCCACACGCACGCTCGCTGGCACACGCGCCGTCGCTTTCGCGGATCGAGAACACGGCCAACGAAATATCATTCCGAAATCACCGCCCATGTGACGGGCGAGCCCTCCCCCGCGCGCTCGAGTGCTGCCAACTCGCGTAAGGAAGCTGTTTGGCGCCGCGCGCCGACCCCCGCGCGAAAACTCGCGTTCCGAGACCACCGCCGATGCGGCGCGCGAGTCGTTTCCGGCGCGCGCGCGCGGACGAAGCCCAGTTACGCGAAGAAGCTGCGTGGCGCCGTGCGCCGACCCCCACGCGAAAATCGCGCGCTGATAACCCGCTGGCGACGCGGCGCGCGAGTCCTCGTCCGCGCCCCCGAACGCTGCCCAGTTGCGCGAGGAGTGTGGCTGGCGTTCCGCGCCGACCCAAACACGAGCACGTGCGTTCTGGGTCGCTGATGCGACGCCCGAGTCCTTGCCCCTTGCCTGCGCGCGCGAGCGCTACATCGTCGCGCGAGGAGGCTGCTTGGCACCGCGCGTCGAGCCCCCACGAAAACCGCGCGCCGCGACTTTCGCCGATGCGACACGCAAGTCGAGAGAGCTTTTCCGCATTTTTCATGCAGACCCCCCACCCCACCCAACCCCCGCGCGGTGGTCGTACTGCGATACGCCCGCATGTGCGGCGTCGCTCACGTTCGTCGCTCGTCGTTCAAAATTCGTCGTCGCTTGCCGGCCGTCGTCCTGGTCATCGTTCGTTGTTCGTCGTTCGTCGTTCGTCGTTCGTCGCTCGTCGTCGTCGTCGTCGTCGTTCGTCGTTCGTCGTTCGTCGTTCGTCGCTCGTCGTCGTCGTCGTCGTCGACGTCGTCGTCGTCGTCGTCGCCGTCGTCGTCGTCGTCGTCGTCGTCGTCGTCGTCGTCGTCGTCGTCGTCGTCGTCGTCGTCGTCGTCGTCGTCGTCGTCGTCGTCGTCGTCCGTCGTCCGTCGTCCGTCGTCCGCCGTCCGCCGTCCGTCGTTCGTCGTTCGTCGTTCGTCGTTCGTCGTTCGTCGTTCGTCGCCCGTTTGTAATCGTCCGTCGTTCGTCGTCCGCCACCGTCGTCTGCCGATAGCCGCACAGCGATACATCCGCTGGGAGTGCGATACATACCCGATACATGTCACCTTCCACGGCGAGGGAGCCCACTCTCAGGCTCAGCCGAAGCAGGGCGGGGGGGCTGGAACATGAGCATCGCGAGCGCGTACAAACGCACCCCAATCCCCAGGTGGAATGTGCGCGCGCTTCCAAAAACACTCTCGCCATCATTTTCCCTACCATCCTGTGGTGTTGGGTCCTCGTTTTGAATACACAGCGCCCCGCGTTCCCTCACCTCCGGCTGCCCCCTCCCTGCTCCCACCCGTTGCCTCTGCTCTCCGCATGTCAATACTTTCGGCACACCCTTCACAAGGATCGTGGCCCCATTGGGAGCTCCACCGAAGGCCCCAGTGGCACAGGCCGCATGCGCCCGACGCCCAGTTTGGCACACCCGTCACACGGTTCGTGGCTCCATAGGGAGCCCCACCGAAGGCCCCAGTGCCGCAGGCCGCATGCGCCCGACGCCCAGTTTGGCACACCTCTCACACTGTTTGCGGCCCCACACGGAGCCCCACCGAAGGCAACAGTGGTACAGGCCGCATGCGCCCGACGCCCATTTTAGCACATCCCTCACACGGTTCGTGGCCCTATAGGGAGCTCCACCGAAGGCCCCAGTGGCACAGGCCGCATGCGCCCGACGCCCAGTTTGGCACACCGCTCACACGGTTCGTGGCCCCATAGGGAATTCCACCGAATGCCTCAGTGGCACAGGCCGCATGCACCCGACGCTCATTTGGGCACACGCTTCACACGGTTCGTGGCCCCACATGGGGCTCCGCCGAGAGGGCCACCCACAACGCGGTTCCCAAACTGCGTAGGGTTGGGTCCTTCGCCATGATAGTTTGTCTAACTCTCTCTCTCTCTCTCCATCTCTCTCTCTCTCTCTCTGTCTCTCTTTCTTTCTCTCTCTCTCTCTCTCTCTCTCTCTCTCTCGTGGGGGGGGAAGGGAAGGAAACTCCCCCGCACCCGGGGAGCAACCAGGCCCGGGCAAGGCAGCTGGCGGCGGCTCCCCAGTGCGAAGCCACACCGGCCCGCGTGCGACAAGAACGCAAGAACATTAGGAGGCAAAGGAGGAGGAGGAGGAAGAGGAGGAGGAAGCGGGAGGAGCGGCCAGCCAGGGGGAGGGGAGGCAGGGGCAAGGGACGGGGGCGGTCGGAAGGCGGCGGTCGTGGTGGTGGACGTGATAGTCGTAGTGGGCGTGGGGGCGGCGGCCGCGGTGGTGGCCGAAGTGGTCGTGGTGGTCGTAGTGGTCGCGGCGCTGGCCGCCCGCACTGGTCGTCGCACTGGTCGTGACGGTAGGCGAACGTAGTGGTGGTGGGCGTGGTTGTCGTAATGGTCGTAGGGCGGCGGTCGTGGTGGTGGTCGTGGTGGTCGTAGTGGGCGTGGGGCGGGCGTGCTAGTGGTCGCCGCGGTGGTGTCGGTGGTCCAGTCGGAGCCAGTGAGTTGCTCACGTCGCACTTAGCAGCATTTCAGCGTTGCCGAACGCGAGGTACCGCTGAATCTTTCTCCACGTTGTAGAGATCACAGCGGACCGGTCGGCATCCGGCAGGTCCCGGCCGTAGGAGCGCACGAAAGCGACCAGCTCGTCCGGCGGCCGGCCCCCAGTCTCCAAGACGGCCGGGATGAGTTCCCCTCCGGCCGGGCCGGGGGATAGCGCGCCCGCTTTCTGTCGACTGCCTGAGCCGCCGCCACCCCGTCCGTGCGAGCTCTGGCCTGCCTGCGAGCGTTGTTGTCTCTTTCTCTCTCTCTCTCTTTCTCTCTCTCTCTCTCTCTCTCTCTCTCTCTCTCTCTCTCTCTTCCCCTTTGCTCAATACACCTCTCTCTATACCTCTCCTTCGCTAAATGTATACGTATATGTCGCTCTCTCTCTCTCGCTCTTTCTCAGTGTCTCTATGTCCTTCTCTCTCTCTCTCGCTCTCGCTGTCTCTCGCTCTCTCGCTCTCTCTCTCTCTCTCTCTCTCTCTCTATTTCTCGCTCCCTCTCTCTCTCTCGCTATATCGTTCTCTCTCTCTCTCTCTCTCTATCGATCGTTCTCTCCCGGGCCTTGGCAAAATCGAGCAGCCGACAGAGGCGAGGCGAAAGCGTTGCAGCAGAGTTCAAATCGGTCCGTGGTGGTCGTCGTCTTCGTCTTCATCGTCGTCGTCGGCATCGTCGTCATCGTCGTCGTCGTCTTCGCCGTCGTCGTCGAGCGTATGCGTCCTCGTCGTGACCTGGGAATGTTTGTCGTCAACGTCGCGGCCCGTTCCGCCCCTCCGTCCGTGGCCCCTCCTCCTCCTCCTGCCCATTCCGTCCCCCCCCTCCTCGCCCCCCACCCTCTGTCGTCTTGCCTCCGCCCCTCCTCCCCCCGCCCCCCTGTCCCTCCCCCGACCACGCCTCCGCTCCCCTCCTCGCCCCCTGGGTCTCTCCTCCTTTTTCCCAACCATCCTAAGGTGTTTGGTCCTTGCTTTGAAGAGACAGCGCCACGGGTTCTCCTTCCTCCTCCAGCTGCCCCTCCTCCAACCCATCCCTCCCCCCATCCCTGCATCTGCCCTCCGCACAAACGCACCCGTTTCGGCACACACACACACACACACAGACACACACACACACACACACACCACACGTTTCGTGGCCACATATGGAGCTCCACCGAAGGTCCGAGTGGCTGCGCTCGCATGGCACCACCGCACCCAGTTCGGCACACCCCTCACACGCTTCGTGGCCCTATGCGGAGCTCCGCCGAAGGCCCCAGTGGCTGCCAGTGGCTGCGCTCGCATGGCACCACCGCGCCCATGTCGTCGCACCCCTCACACGTGTCGCGACCCCATCGGGAGCTCTACCGAAGGGCCCCAGTGGCTGCGCTCGCATGGCACCACGGCATCCATTCTGACACACCCCTCACACGCTTGGTGGCACCATGGGGAGCTCCACCGAAAGTCCCAGTGGCTGCGCTCGCGTAGCAGCACCACACCACTGTCGGCGCACCTCTCACACGTTTCGTGGCCACGTGGGGAGCTCCACCGAGGGTCCCAGTGGCTGCGCTCGCATGGCACCACCGCACCTAGTTCGGCACACACACACACACACACACACACACCTCACACGCTTCGTTGCCACATAGGCAGCTGCACTGAAGGCCACAATGGCTGCGTTCGCATGACATCACCGTGCCCATTTCGGCATACGGCATACCCCTCACACGTGTCCACCTAAGGCCCCATTGGCAGCTATCGCACGGCACCACCGCCCCCAATGCGGCACACCCTTCGCACGCTTCGTGGCCCATTGGGAAGCTCCACCTACAGCCCCAATGGCAGAGCCCGCACGGCACCACCGCACCCGCTTCGGCACACCACCCGCACGCTTCGTGGCCCCATAGGGAGCTCCACCGAAGACCCCAAGGCAGCGCCCGCATGGCACCACCACACCCATTTCGGAACACCCCTCACACGTGTCGTGGCCCCAAATGGAGCTCCACCGAAAGCGGCCGGTACCCAATGCGGTACTCACAATTGCATTTGGTTTGGTCTTTCACCAAGATAATTCTCAACGGCGATATTCGAATCGGCCCCAGCGCGGGCACTTTTCGCCTGCTGGCAACTGCGCCACATTTGGGCGCGCACGCACGCCTCGACATCGGGGCTCACGAAGCATGGGGCGCGGCGAACAGGCGGGACAGGCGGCGGAGGGGGCGCGGGCAAGCGGGCGAGGCGGGCAGGCGGGCGGGCGGAGCGGGCGGTGGGGGCGCTTGAAAAGCTGTCGGGGTGTTCGAAGCGCTCGACATAATATTTCATCGACGATAGCTCCCATCATTCCGCCTGTGTGCGCCAAAGGTTTGCGCACTCATCTCGCGGCCCATCCAGGGGCCCCTGACGATGATGGTGGGGTCCACTGCGCGGTAGAACGCGCGGTTGGCGGTGGACTCGGTAGCGATGGCGACAGTTTCCTGGGCGACGGTGTTGAATCGCTGCTTGAAGGCCTCCAGCCCGCTGCGGAGCTGTCCGATGGTGCACTCTGCGCTGTCTATCCTGATCTCCAGGCGGTTGCATCGCTCTTGAATGGTTCTGTCCAGGGACGTTAGCGTTGCTTCACCGACAGGTTAAGCTTGCCGAGGGCGGCCTTCACGGCGGCAACTGACTCCATGGTGTCTTCTCTGGTGCCACCCACGTGCTTGAGAAGCTCATCCGCATCAGTGTGAGTAGGGGTGCGCTTGGAAGATCTCGTGCCATCGCGCCGTGAGCGCTGCCCTGGCTACGCTTCGGCAAGAGCGCTCATCTGTCTGGCAAGCCTTTCACGCCCGCCTCTGAAATGCGAGAGAAGAACGGAATGTACGGAGAAGTGGAATAAAAAAGGAACATGTGAAAGGCACCCGCATCTGCATGCACAGAGGTATGCTCACCGGTGCGCTGCCCGCTCATAGAAATGTCTCCTCCTCCTCCTCCTCCTCCTCGTCCTCCTCCTCCTCCTCCTCATCCTTCTCCTCCTCCTCCTCCTCCTCCTCCTCCTCCTCCTCCTCCTCCTCCTCCTCATCCTCCCCTTCCCCCTCCTCCTCCTCCTCCTCCTCCTCCTCCTCCTCCTCCTCCTCCTCCTCCTCCTCCTCCTCCTCCCTCCTCCTCCTCCTCCTCCTCCTCCTCCTCCTCCTCCTCCTCCCCTTCCCCTCCCCCTCCCCCTCCCCCTCCTCCTCCTCCTCCTCCCTCCTCCTCCTCCTCCTCCTCCTCCTCTCCTCCTCCTCCTCCTCCTCCTCCTCCTCCTCCTCCTCCTCCTCCTCCTCCTCCTCCTCCTCCTCCTCCTCCTCCTCCTCCTCCTCCTCCTCCTCCTCCTCCTCCCTCCTCCTCCCCTCCCCTCCTCCTCCTTCCTCCTCCTCCTCTCCTCCTCCTCCTCCTCCTCCTCCTCCTCCTCCTCCTCCTCCTCCTCCTCCTCCTCCTCCTCCTCCTCCTCCTCCTCCTCCTCCTCCTCCTCCTCCTCCTCCTCCTCCTCCTCCTCCTCCTCCTCCTCCTCCTCCTCCTCCTCCTCCCTCCTCCTCCTCCTCCTCCTCCTCCTCCTCCTCCTCCTCGTCCTCCTCCTCCTCCTCCTCCTCCTCCTCCTCCTGCCCCTTCTCCCCCTCCTCATCCTCCCTGGCATGGCCCTGACGTAGCCCTGCGCACCTCCTTTCTCTCTGCTCCCTCCTGCCCTGAGCGCCGCAGTGTGTGCATTGGCAAGGTGCGATGCGATGCGACCACCGTTGCGGACAGCGTCCAGGCCTAGCTCAGACCAGGCGGGTGAGGCCGTGACCTCGAGGCATCGGCAGGGGGGGCACTCCTAAGACGGCTGCTCGCAAACCCCAGCGAATCGCCTCGTCCCCTGCCGTGGAAACGCCTCTTGTCGCCGCCCGTCTGCGAGCACGTAGCCACCAGACTGCGGATAACGGCGGGCGCGCCGCCGCAGGGAGGCCGGCGACGCAGCGGCGGCCTCTGGTCTGGGGCCGCAGCTCCGGGCACGGGAGGCCAATGTGCGCAGCGGCACCGCGAACCAAGCGCCCTCCTCGACACCTCAGCCGCGGGTGCGGGCGTCTGTTCCCCGACCCTGGGCCGCTGAAGCCGGGGGCGGGGGTGGCGGGTAATGAAGGGCTCCGCCACCCTCATGCTCTCTCTTCCGTTGCAAGCTGCAGCATCGCGGCGCGATCGCGCAGAGAAGAGCGGCGCGCGGGGCTCTAACCAACATTGCATTGCGTCAGCGTGCGTGCAAAAGAATCAAAGAGGGGCCCCCGACCCCGTCTGCCGGCGGCCTCGCGACGGCACGCCAGCGCCGGGGCGTCCTTGGCTATGATCTGGTCCCCGAGCTCCTTGGCCACGGACTGGTCGCCGCTGGCTGCGGCCCTCGCGGCCAGGGCGGACACCACGGGCACCATGGCTCCGAGGCCACCTGGGTGGCGGCCCTTGCGAACAGCCACCTGGGGCCGCGGCAGGGCGGATGGAGGCGTCCGTCCTCCTTCTCCTCCTCCTCCTCCTCCTCCTCCTCCTCCTCCTCCTCCTCCTCCTCCTCCTCCTCCTCCTCCTCCTCCTCCTCCTCCTCCTCCGCCTCCGCCTCCGCCTCCTCCTCCTCCTCCTCCTCCTCCTCCCCCTCCTCCTCCTCCTCCTCCTCCTCCTCCTCCTCCTCCTCCTCCTCCTCCTCCTCCTCCTCCTCCTCCTCCTCCTCCTCCTCCTCCTCCTCCTCCTCCTCCTCCTCCTCCTCCTCCTCCTCCTCCTCCTCCTCCTCCTCCTCCTCCTCCTCCTCCTCCTCCTCCTCCTCCTCCTCCTCCTCCTCCTCCTCCTCCTCCTCCTCCGCCTCCCCCGATAACCAGATGCTCCCACCTCCTTGCAACCTCTGAAAGTCAAGGAAAAGCCTGCAGGGGGCGGGGAGCGTTGCTGGCAGCGCGTTGGCGCGAAAGGGGGCGACGAGAAACGATGGACAGGAGAGACAGTGTGGCCTCTTGGCCAATAGAGGAAACAAGACGAGGCGAGCTGGACGAGAGACAGTGCCAGAGGGCACCGGGAATCGGGCGCCCAGCTCTCCGCCGCGGTGGAAAACCATGGCAGGACCCTGAAGCTCTCGACCCCTTCTCGACACCAGACCTCGAGCACCTGGCCGGCGTGCTTTCTGGTCAGGGGCGACAAGGGACGGTCCCACGGGATCAAACGAATGCGGGCTACGCAAGCGGGAACTGGGCTCATGCAACAGGAGAGGAGCTCGAGGACCCAGGAGGGAGTCAGCCGTAGGAAGGAGGAGGGTCCCCAGGCGCACTACCAGGCCGACGCACACAAGAGTGGGCAGAAGACCGAGGCGGCCTGCCCAAGGGACGAAACCCAAAGCAGTCGCCCGTCACCATGACTGTCTGAAGACGCCCATCGTGTGCTATCCAAGAGCCCATTCTCCACCCCTCCCTTGCCCAGGAGGAGGAGGAGGAGGAGGAGGAGGAGGAAGAGTTAGCGTAAGGAGACAGCGCATGTACCCACAGTCAGAACTCGTGCCTTGCGGCGTGGCCAAATGGCGAACAGCCCATTCTACCTGATTCGATACATCACAAACGCACGTCGCACCTCATCAAGAGCTCCAGCTACGGCCACGTTGGGCGCAGTCGCAGCGGAAACGAACACATAAGGATTATTCAATCCTGTGACACGCAAGAAACGCAGAGAGAGAGAGAGAGAGAGCGAGAGCGAGTGAGTGACCATCCTGCGCCCCGCTCCTCCTCCTCCTCCCTACCCACAACGACACAACGATGATGAAATGATGCCTCCCAAATATCTCGGCTCCCTCATAGAAGCTCCAGAAGGAGAACAGGTGAGGAGAAAATCTTGGAAACTCTACAGGACATTGAAAACGAACCATCAAAATTCGACAACGACGACGACGACGACGACGACGACGACGACGTTGGCGGCGGTCGCCCTGGTGCCGGCCCGCCTGTGATCCATCCGCCCTTGCGCAGGCACCCTCTCGTCTCTCGGCGTGTACCTCGCAGGGGCGAGCTGAGCGCGCGCATCACGCCAGGGGGGGGGCAGGAGAGGGAGGAGGGAGACGATGGGCCAGGATGGGGATTGGCATTGCTTGGCATTGCTTGGCATTGCTTGGCATTGCTTGGCATTGCTTGGAATTACTTAGCATTGCATGGCATGGCATTGCTTGGCATGAAGCACGGGGGGCGGGGAACCTGGGGAACCCGGGGAACCTCCGAGAAACGGGCAAATCGAGAATAGGAGGCACCAGGGGCGGGGAACCCCGGGAACCAGGGGAACCTGCGAGCAACGGGCAACGCAACATTAGTGGGCATCAACCTTTAACCAAGTAAGAACTCCATAGGCAAGCCTAACTGGGGAACGAGGTGCAAGCCCTGGGAGGAGCACTTTAACTGAAAAACGCAATGGGCACCGAAGGGGGGTATCAACAATAACTATTGTTGAGAAATGAGCGTTCAACGACAAAAAGATCAACATCATCATCAATACCAACAACATCGACATCAGCGCTATCATCGCCATCATCGTCATCATCAACTGGCCTTCATCACTGAACACCAACCGTCGACCGCAAGCCGTCAACCATCCAGCACCAACCATATGTCATCATCACCATCATTATCATCGTCACCATGTTCAGCATAATCACCGTCGTCGTGATCGTGATCATTGAGTTCGGATGGGGAAGGATAGCTCGGACGAGCGTGCCAGCCCCACGACCTCCTGCCAACGGTCGCCACAGGAGCCCTCGGCCAGCACCAGATCGCACACGCGGCCAATCAGGCAGAGCTTGACGAGCACATGTTGCTGGAGGCGCGGGCTGCCGTGGTTTATGACCGCGATGAGCAGCCTGCTGCCCACGGCCTGGAAGATGTGGTTGCACCTGCAGCCAAGGAGCAACGGGAGCTAAGAGGAGGAGGAGGTGAGTGGGGGATGGAGGGTCGGAGGAAGGAGGAATGATTAAGGCTTTACGGCTTCACGTGGTTTCACAAGAATACAGAAGCTCAGGCGGGGCATGGGGAGGGGAAGGAGAAGACGACGGACAGTTCTGAAAGTGCCCTCCGTTAACCACATACAGCATGCTGGGTACGAGCATCACGCATGGCTGCGTATCGTAATCGAACTCGGGCATAGCACTACAAAATCCTGGCCCTCTAACCTCTTGGCTTCTCTTTCGTAATCAGCAGGAGGGGATTACGAGATGAAGGGGGAGGAGGCGGAGGCACTCCGGCCTGATTCCATGGACCTGCTTGCGCGTGCACTCGTCATTCTCCGACCCTGGTGAAATGGGGCACAACCTGACAGGTGCACAACAGGAGGGAAGAAAAAAAGAGGACCAAATGAAACAGACGATGTATCAACGATTCGGCAATTGTCCCTCCAGTCCCAAGTCCCCTCCTCACAAGTCCCTACGAACTTCGCTTCTAACTGCAAAAAGCGCCGCCTTGAAATACCAACACCGTGTGGGTCTGCCACTCGCGCGAGGATCCCGTTTTGAAAAGAAACTGCCGTGCATCTTGCTGGTGCAAAATCAGGGATGCTGATCACTATGATCATACACGTCAACGAAGTGCCCACCCAGAACTTCTTTCCAAAAAAAACCGCCCCACCCCCATCCGAAGAACTGCTGGACAAACCTACAAACGTGGCCATGAGCTTCCGCTGAAATCTGACCGAACACTCCATGTTGAAACATTACCGCCTTCGACCCGTGCAACCGCGCATGTGTTGACATTCCGGATTTTTGAAGCCGTGGGAATCTCAAACGAGAACCCCACGTTGAAGAAGAACCGCCCTCCATACGTCTAACTGAAGCAAATTTCACTAGCGAATTTGCGCGGCGCTACGGCGAGATCTTCATACTGAAATCGGCATGCGGCCCACCCAAAAACGAACGGCAATTTCTGAACCGACTGCGCGCGGCGCGAAGACGAGAGCCATACTTTGAAAAGGAACCACTCTGCATGGTAATTGTTGTAAAACTCAAACAAAACAACCGGGTGCGCACGGCGCGAAGGCGAAAATACAAGTTTCACCCTACCCCATATATCCCTTAACACTTGTTAACGTTGAAAAGAAAGTGCGCGGCGGTAGAACGCGAAATTGTTTTTGAAAAGCAGCCGCCTTGAACCATTGAAAGTGTTACCAACTGTTCAACAGAATGTTGAAGATCATCCCACCCATCCATCCTTGCAACTGTTGCAAAATGTTCAGACGAATGTAGCGCGAAGCTAAAGCGAAAGTCGCATTCTGAAAACGTCCCCCGTCCACCATTTGTAGCTGTCTGCAGCATGTTGAAAACCAATGTAAGCGAGTCTTTGGCCACGACGTTAATATTGAACAACGCCTCCACCTTCCATCCATGAAGAAGCTGCTTGAAAATTATACATATATAGATATGTAACAAATGCGCGCGGCGCTAAGGCGACAGCTCGGTTTGACCCCCCCCCCCTTTCCATCCTTCATAATATTACGAAGCTCAAGCTCGGGCTTCTGAAATTAGAAATGTTCAGGAAGTTCACTCGATCCGCCAGGTCCGCCCTACCGACACGCCTGGGTTGTCCACAAGGAGAAGTTACTGAAAAGGAGAAAGGATGGAAGATGAGGGGCGGAAGGAGGAAAACCACTGCAAACCCAAAACAAATCAACGGTGGAAAAAGAACCCCTCAAGTTACCTCTTCATAGGCCCCTACAAGGGTTCATTTCCACTGAAGGAAGTGCCCTATTGGGAAACACCCTTTCCAAAAATCCTGAAGCGTGCCAAAACACCGCTCTCATGTCTTCAACACCATCAACCTGGCTGTTGCGTCGTGACGATCCTGAACCGCGCCAGAACACACTTCCTTGGGCGTCAACACCGCGAATCCATGTAACTGGCGCGCCCTGACAATCCTGAACCGCTCCAAAACACAATTTCTGGCACGCTAATCATATAGCTCCTAGATGGCGCAAGATAGCCGAAGATGAATCGGGACAGCATCCCACGCACCGCAAGAATGCCACAGGACGGCCCCAAGTGGGCAAAGAGCCCCCCAATGGGACCTTCGGGACGCCAAAACGATTCGAATGACGCCCCGGAGATCGCCCAGAAGAGCTCCAAAAAAGGGCCCTAAATTCGCCAAGATGGCCCCGAAAGCGCCCAAGAATGCCCCAAGAACGCCCCAAGATAGCACCAGGAGGCAGATTCGCGGACCCCGACGGGGGTGGGGCAATTGACGTTGCACTCTTGTTCATCAGCAAAGTCAGCGAGCCACCTGGACAGCGATTGTTGATTGATTTGAACGCGCAGGGGCATCACTCACTGGGAGGACGTCGGGCCAAGCCGGCTCCAACATGGCCCAAGATGTCTTAAGATGGTCTCAAAGATCGCACAGGGTGGCCCAAGTTGGCTCAGGATGGCTTGCAGCTTGCCTCCAGGACCCAAGGCAGTCCAAAGACGGCTCGAAGTGGTCATGGAACGCCCCCGCGAAGCCAAAATCACCCAAAACACACAATGGTTCAACCTCGCACGGCATGCCTTTCTTCGACCATTCCAACGACGTCTCCGCCCACGACGCCTGCGTTGCGCGGAATCCCGCAGATGCAGCACGCCAGTCCACGTCTTCTCGCAGCGTGAACGCTCGAAAATATGTCATCAGCAGGAGCCCGTTCCTCTTCTATTCTCCCGCCCTGTGTTTCGGCTGCGGCGCCCCACGGAAGTTTGGAACCCTCGGGCGCCCATTCCGCACCGGCGCTCACGCGTGTTTCAGAATTGCTCTCCACTTCGTGAACACAAAGGATACGGAAACCACGAGTCACGGCCCTCCTCCCTTCACCACGTAGTCCACTCCCGCTTTCGACTGCGCTCCGAACTGCGCGCCGCCGTCATCTTCTTCCAATGTCTTGCGGTCTGCCTCGCAGACCTTCTCAACGCCCGACGCCGTCAACGTCTTCTGGCACTCATTGCTGGCAGCCGCCGACAGCTCCCCAGGGCCGCGGGGAAACGCTGCCAGTTCAACGCGCCAGTAACGCAAGAATTCATACAGGGAAAGAAGCGCTAGTCCAGGCGTTCCTGGTTCGTCCACTGGACGCATGCCGTACAAGTACACGGGATTTTCCGAAACGATTCGCACCTTCTTCGAACCCTCCCGCCACTCCGCCTCCAGTGTCCCCGACACTGCCACGGGCGCAGCTGCCCCGAGAGAAGCAGCGAGGGAGGAAGAAGGGAGCGAGGAGGACGAAAGGAAGGGAACAAAGAAATGAAGGAGCACTGGAAACGGAGACATAAAAGGAATCGCGTGAAGAAAGTAAAGAACACGGGACCACGAGCTAGCGACTAACCAATAATCGATACCCACGTCGTCTACGCCTGAGCCCCGGACCCGTGCAGCGTGATCCACCCGAGGAATTACCGAGCTCGACGTCCGCAGACCAGTGCCGTTCGAAGAAATCGGGAAATCTAAAGTACACCAAGAAGGGGACCTCGATTGGCGCGGTTGTCAAGGTCTCTCTCTCTCTCTCTCTCTCTCTCCCTCTCTCTGCCTGCACTGCCGTCACGTTAGCCAGCGCTGCTACGGCGTGAGCAGGGCACGAAAGTGCGGAAGAAAAACACGCTCGCCTCTCGGTGACATCTCTCCACGTCGGGATGGGGGCCATGCGAGCGAGGGCCGCAACCTCCTGCACCCTCCACCAACCCACTGAAATGGGTTCCCCCACCGCCGAGGCACCGACGATCGGCAAGCACATCGATCCTGGAAAAGGCCCTGCACGATCCACAGTCCGCCAATAAACTTGGGAGTCACCAGGCGGGCAAGAGTCTCCGATCCCTGTGTCCGCCACGCTAGACCCAGAACAGCTGATTTCGGGGGGGGGGCAAGCTCCCACGGTTTCTGTCCCCCCCTCCTCTGTCCACGATTGCCATAGAAGCTCTGGTCCGCGATCCCGCGGAAAAGAGACAAGGGGTCAGCGGATGTGGCGTAAGCCTGTCGAATTATTCAACACTTCTAGTGGTTCAATGTTTTTTCCCTTCTCGTCTCTTTTCCGATGGGCTGATGGCTGCAAGATCGCTCAAGAGAGCCCCAAGAGGGAGCCACATGGGCGCCAAGACGGCACCAAGAGCGCACCAAGAGCATCCAAACAGGGCCCCAAGATGTGATTTGTCAGGCTCCGGCGAAGGTGGGCAAACTAGCACCGCTCCCTGTTTGATCGATGAAGGCCTGGATCGGCCCTGGAGGGCCCCGAAGACCCCCAAGAGGGTCCCACGGGAGCCCCAAGAGAGCCCCAAGAGAGCCCCAAAAGGCCTCCACAGTGGCCCCGAGAGGGCCCCATATGGCCCAATATCCACGAATGTATGTATGGTTGACTCCTGGGTATGCGAAGGCTGATTGCCGAGCTTCGATAAGACAGTCCCTCTTTTGCCCCTACCCTGCCCAGGAGAAGGGGGAGGAGAGGGAGAAGGCCGAACAGGGAGAACGAGGAAGAGATGGGAGGGGGAGGGGGGGAGGAGCAGGAGGACGACGACGAGGTGGGGAGCAGAAAAGGGAGAGGCAAACAGGGAGATCAAATAAAAGTAAGACAGCAGAAAAGGATGCACCTGTATGCCAGGAACCAGTGCACGATGGCGCCCCACACCCCAGGCTTTATGGCCGGCAGCGCGCGTTCCTGCCCCTCCTCCTCCTCCTCCTCCTCCTCCTCCTCCTCCTCCTCCTCCTCCTCCTCCTCCTCTTCCTCCTCCCCCTCCACATCCACTTCCTCCTCCTCCTCCTCCTCCTCCTCCTCTTCCTCCTCCGGGGAACAGCTATATGGCGTTCCTGCCCCTCCTCCTCCTGCTCCTCCTCCTCTTCCTCCTCCCCCTCCACATCCACTTCCTCCTCCTCCTCCTCCTCCTCCTCCTCCCCTCCTCCTCCTCCTCCTGCTTGTCCTCCCCCTCGTCCTCCCCCTCCCTCCCTCCCTCCCTCCTCCCTCCCTCCCTTCTCCTACTCACCCTCTCCTCCCACGTTACCTCCCCCTCGTCCTCGTCCTCCCCATCCTCCTCCTCCTCCTCCTCCTCCTCCTCCTCCTCCTCCTCCTCCTCCTCCTCCTCCTCCTCCTCCTCCTCATGCTCTCCTCCTCCTCCTCCTCCTCCTCCAGCTATTCCTCCTCCTCAACTTCCTCATCCGACCCTCTTCCTTGTAGATAACTCCTCCCCGTCTAACCACCATCGGTAGGGCGGGCCGGGCGTCTCGCCGGAGGCATCCTCCCTGTCCATGACCCCGAAGACTGCAAAGCCCAACAGCTACACGGACGTGCGATCAAAATGTGGCTCTCGCCTCAGCGCCGCGCACATTCGTCTTACAAGTTCCAACCAGTAGTTACACGGATTGAGAGGTGGGGTCGTTGCGAAAATGTGGCTCTCGCCCTAGCGCCGCACACACTCGTCTTAAAACATCCCAGCGGCTACACACATGGAGGGGGAACGCCTTACCACCGCGCACATTCGTCTTAAAAGCTTCCAAAGGCGACAAGGATGAAGGTGAAAGCCGCGTCCTTTCCAAAATGTGGGTCTCGACTTAGTACTGCGCGCACTCGTCTCAAAGCTTCCAACAGCTACAGGGATGGAGAAGGGGGGCAGAATGTATGTAGCTCTCGCTGTAACGCCGCGTACTTTCCTTTTGCAAGTGCCCAACAGTTAACGGAAGGAGCACGGCTCCTTTCCAAACTAACACTTTCGGTTCAGACCTCCTCTGTTCTTATAATCAAATACCTAAGATTGGAATTGTACACCAGCTACACGGATGGCGGATGCCTCATCTCCAGCTCAGGGCTATCGCTTGAGACTTCCTCAAGCTGTATGACTGGACGTTTCAAGTTGGCGACAGGTGCACGGATTTAGAGCGTTTTTTGGGGCGGTGCTCTCGCGGGACACTCCCATCACTACGATGATCATACCCCATCGCCGTGCTGAGGCACAGTTAGAAGCATGGATGGCAGCTCCGTTTCAAAACGGGGCTCCCGCTTGAATTGCAGGACCATTGGGTAATCGCCTTTCAAGAGGACACTTCCCGCAGTGAAAATGAATTCTCGCATGGGCCGTATGAGGACGGTACTTGGGACGGCTTGGCGTATTGCAGCATGGTTGATGTAACTCGGGTTTGGTCCTCCTCTCCTTCCTCCCACTCCCCTCCTCATACTTTTGTTCCTCCTCCCCCCCCCGCTCTTCCCCCACATCCTCCTCCTAATTACTAATATTCCTCCGTCTGTTTGTTCTCCAGCCCCAACTCATCCTTCTCATCGTCGTCATCAACAGTATCCTATCGTCCTATCGTCCTCCTCCTGCTCCCCTCCTCCTCCTCATCATCATCAAAATCATCCACATCATCATCATCATCATCATCATCATCATCATCATCATCATCATCATAATCATCATCATCATCAACAACATCATCAACATCATCAGATTCATAATCATCATCATCATCAGCATCATCATATTAATCAGCATAATCATAATCATCCTCATCATCATCATTATCATTCAGTCCCGGATCCTTCTCCCTTCTCCCCCTCTTCGCCTCGAGCTCCTCCTCCTTCTTCATCATCCTCCTACGCCTCATCATCATCCTCTTTTCCCTTCTCCCCCTCGACGACGACGACGACGACCACGACGACGACGACGACGACGACGACGACCACGACGACGACGACGACGACGACGACGACGACGACGACGACGACGACGACGACGGCGCTCCGGTGAAAGGTCGGCCAGGGCCGCGAGGATCTGGACCAGCACAACCCGCAGCGCTCCAAGGGGCTCCCGCACTGTGTAGGCATTCAGTCGCAGCTCCCGGCGGGCCCTCCTCTGCAGGGGAGCAAGGAGAGGAGGAGGAAGCGGAGGAGGAAAGACAGGGAGGAAACGCAGGAGGGACTCAGAGAAGGAAACAAAGGGGAGGAGGAAACGGAGGGGGAGGAGGAAAACGAAGCGGAGGAGCACGGAGGACTGAGGGGAAACACGAGGAGAAGGACGAGGAGAAGAAGGAGAAGGAGGAGGCGGAGGAGGAGCAGGATCGTGAACCGAGGATCCAGTTGTTCGGACGTTTTTTGACGTTTTCTCCGCGCTTCTGGGGCTTCGGGGGATTCCAGACGGGGGAGAGGCGGTCCCGGGAGGGCGAGAACAAGCAGGAGGAGGCGGACGGAGGACTCCTCCTCTGAAGTTCCCGTCCTCCCCTCCTCCTCCTCCACTTCGGAGTCGGAGCTGGCCAGGGCTCGCTGGAGGTGGCTGGGCCGTGGCGGTCAGCGGGCTGGACGGACAGGCGCCTGAGGCTGGCCGCAACTGGCACGGGTCGGCCATTGCCGACAAGCGCTGGGCCAGGCTGGAAAGAGCGGGAGGAGGAGAAGGAGGCGGAGTAGGAGCAGCAGCGGCAGCAGGAGAAGCAGCAGGAGGAGCATCAGGAGGAGGCGGTGGGGAAGTGCCATCTCGATAAAGCAATTGATTAGAGAGCGGCCCACACATTTCATACGATCCTATCAAGCCCCGTTTTCTTCCACTGGACGTTTGTTCTTGCTCGTCCCCGGTGGATTCAGCGACGGGCGGCCAGTCGTCATGTGCACATGTCCTTCGGCGAGGCTAGCGAGCCCACCAAGGTGAAGGACAAGTTAATAGTGTTGTCTCCCTCTAGCGCTTTGCCTCCTGGCCCTGTGCACTCGCTGGTGATGGGTTGAGTCCTGGAGGGCATTCCTGAAAAAGTTGGTAGACTAGCACGGACTGGGGTGGACACTCTTCCATTCTACTCTACTCTATTCTACTACGATCTACCCTACTCTCTCTCTCTTATTATGACCGTGGTCATGCTGCGCACAGCGATAGATGCTCAGCTGCACAGATCTGTCTACACAGCCTGGAGCCGAGTACTGTGACAAGAGGTGGACATGGGTGCGCATGTGGCAAAGGAAGTGAAGATACGGGTCTAGAACATGGAGATCTTCAACCAAATCTTCGACCTGGGCCTCGACTTGGGATTCTTGTAAGAACTCCGGCAAGGACAAGAGCAAGGCCTGAGACCTCGGTAAGGATACGAGCAAACACTCTTGCAAGGGAGTCTGGTATTGGTTCCAGATCTGGTCCAAACTCCAGCGACAATTACGGCATTGAGGACCTCGACCACGATGTGGAGGAGGGTGTCAAGAAGCGAGGAGAGGCAGGGACAAAGCGGACAATATGATTATTGAGCACTTTGTTGCGCAGAGGTGATGCAACATGCTCGGCAGCAGCGGCTAGACACGGCTCTGGAGATCTTGCAAAGCGAACGGCATTGTGGCAGGGTGAGGGACAGCGACGCCCACTGCCTGCTACACGGGGGGGCTCTCATCGGGAACGGCACCGTCGCCAAGCACGGGACTACCTCTGGCGACATGGTGGACGCGCAGGCGCACAACGGGCAAACGCCACTGATGTGGGCAATACTGAAAGGGGACCCACCCGCTGTGCAAACGCTGCTGGGCGCGGGAGCCAACGCGCAGGCCGAGGACCCCACTGGCGCATCGGATCTCGTCTTCGCGGTTCGGCACCACAGCAGCCACGATTGGATACTCGTTTTGTTATGCGTTGGGGGACAGATGCTCCTGGCCGACAGGGACACAAATAGATGCACATTTGGCCACCCAGCGGCGTTCAAGGCTCGCCTGCAGTCCATGCAGCTGCTTAATGACCTCGACTTGGATTTCGAATAACTGGGATGTCCTAGGTGAGTCCGCTGCATCCTGCCATGCATGCTCAGTAGCACAATATAACGCGATTCTTCGTGGCAAGGGGGCGCGCTCCTTCACAATGCACCTGTCAAGGCACTTCCTGCCGTGGCATCGCTTTAAGCGGGCAGATCCGAAATTGCAGGAGCTGCTGCTCAACGTACCCTGAAATACATGGTCTGGGAGTCCCAGAACATGAGCCATTTCAGAGATTTGCATCGTCGCGTGCGCTTGTGTGGCGTACTTGCAGATAGTCGGCTTGCTGGTCGCGGCACGTTGTGCTGTGGGGCGTGTGTTTCGTTCGCGCTGCCCTCGTGGAGGGCCTGCCGTATGTAGGCTCAGGATCCCCCCTTGCTGCTGCCGCCCGGTTTCTCCCTCCCCCACGTCCCGTCCGCATTGCAGGATCATGCGCCTGAGTACACCCTGCGAAATGCTCAAGAAATCATGGGTTAAGAAATTCATAGTCTCAGAATTTGAATAAAAACCCAGAATTTCTATCAAAATCCTGGGATTTACATTGAAACATTAAGAATAATCGAGACTCTGGCCGAAAACTCAAGTTTTCTTAAGCATCGCCTAAGGTGTATCGCTCGTGTGGGCTCAGGGGCATGGATGATCCTCGTCCCTGCTGCTTCCATCGTGTTCCACCTCGCCATCATCCCGATGGAGCACCGCCCGTCCCCCCCCCACCCCATGAGCGGACGAGGTGGCGGGGAGGAAGATGGGGAGGGGGGACGGGGGGGAAGGTGGAAGGATGATAATGACGATGACGTTGGCGAGGAGTCGGAGCAGGAGGAGTAGGAGGAGGAAGAGGAGGAGAAGGTGGAGGAGGAGGAGGGAGAGGCAGCAGCAGCAGCACGAGGCGGGGGAGAAGACACGGGGGAGGAAGAAGAGGATGAGAAGGAGGAAAAAGAAGAAGAAGAAAAAGAAAAAGAAGAAGAGGGCGGAGGAGGAGGAGGCGGAGGAGGAGGAGGGAGGAGGAGGAGGAGGAGGAGGAGGAGGAGGAGGAGGGAGGAGGAGGAGGAGGAGGAGGAGGAGGAGGGAGGAGGAGGAGGAGAGGAGGAGGAGGAGGAGGAGGAGGAGGAGGAGGAGGAGGAGGAGGAGGAGGAGAAGGAGGGAGCAGGGAGGAGGGAGGGAGGAGGAGGAGGAGGGAGGAAGGAGGAGGGAAGAGGGAGGAGGGAAGAGGGAGGAGGGAGGAGGGAGGAGCGAGCGAGCGAGCCAGCAGAGGTGCAGGTCGGCGACTGGCACTCGAGAACCAAACCATTCTGCAGAACAAAGAGAACTGTGCACAGACACCGATCCTGGCCAGGCCCGTCCGGAGTCCAAGATCGATGCGTACGCCCTCCCGGCTTGGCCCAAGAGGCACATGTACCGATCCTGGGCCCACGATGGGCATTGCCAATGTCGCCCGAGATTGATGATCCAGGGTGCTTCGCGGCTCCCTCCTCCGGCGCCGGCCCTGCTGGCCGGCCACGCTAGCAACGGCAGAGGAGCCCCGGCCCCGCAGCAGCAGGCCGCCCAGCGCGTCCACCCGCGCCAGGTACTGGCCCAGGAGCGCCTCGACCAGCGCCCGCGAAGGCCCCCCTCGGAAGCCACGATCCCCACCCTTCGGCACCGCGAACGGGAGGCGGCAGCGATCGGAGATCGAAGCGCCGAAGCGGCAGCGAGCAGCCGAATCGCCTCCTGAGGGCCGAGGGTCGCGCAGGGCGTCAGGCCACGGGCACCCAGAGCGAGTGCGGGCCGATACACTAGTGAGCGCCACCCCAGCGCACGACGACCACGAGGGGCCACGGGACTCGGGCACCAACGCCGAAGGCCCAGCGCACCCACGCACGAGGCCTACCACGCGCCACGGGCCACGGGCTACGGACTCGGGAAGCCCAAAGTGGCCCAGAGCGTGACCTCCCAACCCAGGCCCTGGCGCGACCGCCGCCAGCCGCAGCAGCGCGTTCAGCAGCGAGGCCGACTCGAACCGCGAGGCTTCGCACCGCAGCAGCCTGGATGCCGGGAAGGGGGCGGGCCCTGCGGTCCAGAAGAGGGCCCAGGTGTCCGCAGCGCTGTCGCGTGAAAGGGGCGGGGGGGCAGGGACGGGGGAGATCGGACACTGGCTGGGGGTGCACGCGAAGTACCAGATGCAAGAGGAAAAGAGAGCAGGCGAAGAAAGAAGAATGGAGGAAAGCGGCGAAGACTAGGAAGCGAAGAACGAGGATTGAGATTGGACTGGATACGAAAGAAGAAGACGCGAAGGGAAGGGAATGGGAACGGGGACTGGGAAGGGGAGGGGACGGCGAAGGGAAGTCTAGAACAAAGCGACGGCGGCACTGGTTTCATAGAAGGTCGGCAAAGATTGTCGAACGTGGCGCCGACCAGGCTGGGGGCGGCCGCATTGGTACGCCAACGACCTTATTTCAGATCAACAGCCTAGCAACTCACTCAGAAGTCCGCCGGCCCCCTTGTGGGGCCACCAGGCTGTAGGCCCGTGATTCGCAGTTTCCTGTACCAGTTGTAGTTTGTAGTTTCCAGTGTTACAGTTCTGCTTCTTGCTGGTTACTGTAATTAGTTGATTGACCGCGCGAGGGGGGGGAGGCCCAAACAGGATTTTTTAGCACCCCCTGGGCGCGTTGTCTGAATTGCTGGGGGGGCTCGAAATCGACACCCCTCACGCAGATCCGCGGGGTCAGGGTCCAAAAACACTGGGGATTTGCCACATTTCTGAAATTCGGTGCCACCCCTCACGCAGATCCGCGGGGTCAGGGTCCAAAAACACAGGGGATTTGCCACATTTCTGAAATTCGGTGCCACCCCTCACGCAGATCCGCGGGGTCAGGGTCCAAAAACACATGGGATTTGCCACATTTCTGAAATTCGGTGCCACCCCTCACGCAGATCCGCGGGGTCAGGGTCCAAAAACACAAGGGATTTGCCACATTTCTGAAATTCGGTGCCACCCCTCACGCAGATCCGCGGGGTCAGGGTCCAAAAACACATGGGATTTGCCACATTTCTGAAATTCGGTGCCACCCCTCACGCAGATCCGCGGGGTCAGGGTCCAAAAACACATGGGATTTGCCACATTTCTGAAATTCGGTGCCACCCCTCACGCAGATCCGCGGGGTCAGGGTCCAAAAACACAGGGGATTTGCCACATTTCTGAAATTCGGTGCCACCCCTCACGCAGATCCGCGGGGTCAGGGTCCAAAAACACAGGGGATTTGCCACATTTCTGAAATTCGGTGCCACCCCTCACGCAGATCCGCGGGGTCAGGGTCCAAAAACACAGGGGATTTGCCACATTTCTGAAATTCGGTGCCACCCCTCACGCACATACATCGCAAGGCGTGGTAACCCAAACTGCGAGTACTCCCTCGGCCCTCTAATCCCAAGGTGTGGTAACCAAGCTCGTAAACCATACACGTCTTACCAATCGCCCTGTGTGGTAACCCCTCTTGTGATCAGTTGGTTTTGCCGATTGCGAATCGGCCTCGCATGCAGTTCCGATACTGCTGCACGACAGCGCCAAAGCCTCATGACTTAGCTCTTCCATGGCCCATTCTCCGAGAGAGGGGGCCGGCGGCAGGGGGCGAAGCCCTTACGGATAAAAACTTCTGTCGGGCTTACCCTCGGAGGTTAATGAATTATCACAGTTAAACCTAAGCTTCATCAATCGATGGAAGCGCGCGAACCAATCAAAAACCGACATCACCCCTCACGCTCCGAGGAGCATGATCCATCAGCCTTGGAAGGAGGTTGACAAATATGCTTACCTCTCCTGAACGACACTCCAACAAATTTTGGGCGGCACGAACACGTGAAGACACAATAGGCCCGCACTCCCAAGGCTGCGACCCCTCGCGCAACACGAAACAGGCCCGCGCTCACGAAGCCACGACCCATCTGACTCGTCCTCGGGCATCCGCCTCGCCCTTCATCCGGGACCCCAGTACGCTGGCGCCGCAGGTGGATGGCCGGGAGCTGGAGAGAAAGGCACGAACAAATCATTCGGCAAGGGCAAGGGCAAGGGCAAGGGCAGGCACAGCAAGTCTTTCGACTTCGGGTTGGAGGACGCCGCTGGAGGTAAGGGTGGCAAGTCGGCGCAAGGGGCGCTCGGCACATTCGCTCCTCCCGGGCATGCCGTCCCCCCTGGAGTCGTGCTCTACGGAGGCCGTGCTCCTTCGTCGGGCGATCCATCGGCATTGTCGGTCGCTGGACTGGAAAGCCTTGTGGAGCTGCAGAAGAAAATTGGCAACGAATCGGAGGTTTCCCGCCTCAACGCCATCCTCAAGAGCAAGCGCGTGCCTGCGCCAGTGGAGTCCCCCACCGAGGACCTGCTCGCCCAGTGCCAGCGTGCTCGTCTCAAGTTGGCAAGGAAGATGCACTGGGAGTTCCAGAAGCTCGAGAACCTCAGGTCGACCATGCAGCAGCAGGAGGCCTACCTGCTCCAGCTGTCCGCCGAGATGGACCAGTATGACATCCAGCATGATGAGCTGGCTTCCAAGGTGTCGGCCGCTCGAGCCTCTGCTGCTGCTCCTCGTCCCGCTTCCCAGCCTCGCCTGGGCGTGGAGGACCTGCTCAAGGGTGACGGCGAAGTGTTCGACACCGACTTTGGCGCGATCTTGGACTTGGGCCCCGAGTTCGAGGTCACCGAGGACGACAGAAAGGAAGCTCAGAAGCGAAAGGACCAGCTGGCGATTTCCATTCAGGCCATGGCCAAGGAGCTGTTCGGCACAGTGGTGGAGGACATCAAGACCGTTCAGACGGCCCACGCGGAGCAGAAGAGCCGGCTGGTGCGCAAGAGGACGCGTACGGAAGACAGTGGCCGCGCTGGCCCTGGTGCTGATGACGGTCCTGCTCCCGCTGGGCCTGCCGCACAGGCCCCTGATGCAGGCGCCGGTGCCGAAGGTACAGGACAGCACTCCTCTGAGCCCGCTGCCCGGGAGGCCCCTGGGACAGCTGCTGCTGCCGCTGCTCCCCCGGAAGACGTCCTCTCTTCGGTGCGAGCCCGAATCAAATTGCTCAATGAGCAGAAAACCTCCCCCCCTCAGGCTACAGAGGCCTGAGGGGGGACGGCCTTCAGATACTTCTGCCTGCTGCCTTTTTCTCCCTCCCTTTCCTCCTCCTGCCCCTCCCCCTCCACCCCCCAACGCATGCGGGTGTAAGTTTAACCAGGGTGCTGTCCCCTCGACCTGGCGAGGGTTCTTTTTGCAGAGCGTTCGCTCCGAGCCATCCAGACTCCCCGAAGCCCCCCCGGCAGAGGAGTTTTCGCTTGTTGTTGAGACGGTGAACGGCAATGCCTGGTCGTCCATTCGGGTATGGCTGCCTCAGTGCACAGCCCACATTTTGCTTGTGCAGGAGCACAAGCTCCAGGAGGGCGAATCGATTGATCGCGGTTCGCAGTGGTGTTTCAACAACGGGTGGAAGTCCGTCTGGGCTCCGGGGACCCTTGGAGAGGGAGGGGGACCATCGTCGGGGGTGGCCGTCTTGGCGAGGGCCTGGATGGGCCTGCACGCCCCCGTCCATGGAACTTCCATTGCACCCCATAGAGCTGTGGCTGCAATTGTGCACCCCCCCGGGGGCCAGTCCATCCTTGTTTCTTCTCTCTACTTGAAAGATTCGGTCGGCATGGATGAGCTCAATTTGGAAGTTCTCGGGGCTATGGGTGCGGAGCTGTCGGTTTCGGGTTTGCCCTTCCTCGTCGGGGGCGACTTCAACAATGACCTTGATGTGATCAACGGCACCGAGTTTGTTCACAACTTGAGGGGCCAGCTGATCTGGACCGACGGCCCCACCTGCTTCGGGACGGGCGAGCCCAAGAAATATGACTACTTCATTGTCTCAGGCGGCCTGGCGAAGGCCGTGCGCAAAGTCGAGGTGAACACTGCGTCTTCGTGTTTTTCGCCTCATGTCCCTGTTCGGGTGCAGTTTCACGCGTTGGCGAGCCTGCACGTTTTGTCTTTCCGGAAGCCCCCCCCGATCGAAGTGGGCCCCCCGATCGGCCCTCACCCGGAGCCCAAGTCGTTTGCTCAGGTTGAGGCTTTGCTTGAAAAGGCCCGCGTTCGGGCCGTCCGGGGGGAAACCCAGATTTTCCATTCCATCCTGGAGGCTGCTCACAAGCAGTGGGCCAACACTGCAGAGAAGGAACTTTTTGGGGCGCGACTTTGGGGCTCATCAATACCCTGAGCTCCACGGTATGCGATGGTTGAGCTCATCTTTCCAGAGTTTTTCCAAGTTTTTGGAATCAAGAACGTCTTCCATGCACTTCGCCTCCGTCAGCGCCCTGTGCACGTCCTTAGCTTCGCCGCCCCCGCTGGTTCGTGATACCCAAGGTGAGCATGTTTCAGCCTACTCCGCTGCGGCGAGCATGGCCTGGAGCTGGCTCGACTTCATGGCGGTTCCTGCCGCGGAGGCCCATGATTTTCTGGACTCGATTCCCAGTGGCGCTCTGAAAGAAGCCTCCCAGTCGATTCGAGAAGCCCTCGAAAAATGTAACACGTCTTATGTTTCTAAGGCTCGCCAAGATTGGGCCTCCTGGCTGAGGGAGGGCATCAATCAAGGGGCTCGGCGGGCCCACCAGATTTCTAGGGACCCTGCCGCGTGGAGGCCCACCTCCACTCTCAGCAGGTTTGGTTCTTTAGTCGCTGATCCTGCCGAGCTTCTGCATTCTGAGAGGACCAAGTTCGGGGCCCTCTGGAGGGCGAACCATTCCCCTCCCCGGCTGCAAATTCAGGTGCAGGAGCCGCTTCCCCAGATTTCCGTCGATTTGATTCGTGATATTTCGCGGTCTTTCTCCCGTCGCTCGGCTGTGGGCCTTGACGACTTCCACATGCGTCATTATCAGTACCTGTCTGATAATGCCTTGCGCTGTTTCGGTCAACTTTGGACTCTTGTCGAGCTTGCTGGCGGCCTGCTTCCCCGGCAGCTGAGAGCTTTGATTGTGGCTCTGATCCCGAAGGCGGTCCCCGGATTTTGGCCCATCGGGTTTTTTTCGAGCCCGTACCAC